GACAGGTTCTCTGAGCGATGTCGTCACTGAAGCACCAGCAGACTTTTTTTCGGGATCTTCGGAGGACTGAGGAGATTGGAGCTTTAAATTTAATATCTAAATCTCTATAATTAATTTTAAAAAAAGTGCCGGAGCGTGTGCTTGCGATTGATTCTGCGAGAGTGAGGGCGGGGCCTTGATTTCACGGCTTTACTTCCGGCTCACTCCTGCGCATGTCTGGTCCCGAGATCGCTTCTGCGCAGACTCAAATCCCAAGATGTCAGCGCCATATCAGGACACTGGCGGCTTCACTTCTGACCAATGGAAGAGAGCGAAGGGGCGTCGTCCATCTTTTTTTACAGTCTATGGTCGCGCACTTTGATCTTTAAAACTTGACAGACCTTTTACCTTCACAAACAGCTATAACATTACATTCGAAAAAGCATATTATATAAACATTATCACACAAGCAAGATTGCTGTTGTTCTGAATACCAACAATAATAAATACATAATTTGTGTTTATTTTCAGAGGAAAGGTCGTCCTCCTGGTCCAGTTGTACAGTACGACAGAACGGCCCAGTACAGCACTCCGTAAGTTTCCCTAAAACTTTTTATTAATCAGATTTCTCCATATATGAACTATTCAAGCCTTTGACATTTTAAAGCATATTCCGTAGAGCGAAACCCAAAGTATCCGAGCCAATAAAGAGAGAAGGACCTAAGGTAGATATAATGTGCAATTGGTTTAAAATGGCATAATAATTGATACTGAATTGTTTATGTAATATTAATGTGTCTGTGTTGATGTCTGTATAGTGGAACCCATCCAGACTGAATGAGGACAGCACATTCGTTCTGGGATCCAGGGCAAATAAGTAAGTGTACAAAGTAGTTGATATTTACATTAAACGTGATTTGGATGTATTCATTTAACAAATGGAAATAATTTCAGGGCTTTGGGAATGGGCGGTACAAGAGGAAGAATCTACATCAAACACGCAGAGCTCTTCAAGGTATTTTATTTTATTTTTACTTTTTCTGAGCATTGATAAAGCTGTTTCTGTGTTCATGTGGAAGGAGCCGTAATATATTTTGTGTCTCAGTATGCCGCTGATGCTCAGGACAAACACTGGCTTTCAGAAAGACAGCACATGAGAGCCACAGGTGGAAAGATGGTGAGAAAATTGTGTTTGTTTACTTTTTTTTTCTTCTAAAAAAATCAGTAAATTACAATTCTCCATCATCCTATTTAAACTGTTACTCTTCTCAGGCCTATCTGCTTATAGAAGAGGATATTCTTGATCTTGCCCGAAGTGATGACTACAAGTAAATAAACACATTTCCTTACTAAAAGACTTATAAATAAATGTTAGTATAAAAGCTTGTATCTGCCATGGAATAAAACGATTTAAACGATAATTGATTTTTAAACAACTTTTTAATTCAATTAAACTGTGAGGAAAAAAAGTCAGAATTACGAGTTATAAAGTCAGAATTGTGTTTTTTTTTTTTTCTTAGAATTGCATGATATTAACTGACAATTGCGAATTATAGTTCTCTCAGAGAGTTTTTTCTCTCACTATTCTGACTTTATTTCTTGTAATTGCGAGTTTGTATCTCACAATTCTGATTTTATAACTCGCAATTCTGAGAAAAAGTCAAAATTGCGAGTTTATATCTCGTAATTCTGACTTTATAACTCGCAATTGTGAGTTTGTCATGCAATTCTGAGAAAAAAACGTCAGAATTGCGAGTTTATAATCTGACTTTATATCACAATTGTGACTTTATAACTCGCAATTGTGACTTTATATCATGGAATTCTGAGGGAAAAAGTCGCAATTACCTTTTTTATTTTTTATTCAGTGGAGGAAACAAGCTTCCATATGTTAGTGGGAACATGCATCATCATATTTTCTCTGAATTCTTAGGGACTGTCCTGACTTGAAGCTGGATGAATTGAAACCATTTACAGTGCCCATTTGGATGGTGGAGAAGATGCAGAAGGCAATGGAAGCACAGAAAACAGAAAATGATCTTGTCATGTAATGCCAAACTCGCCAGGCAAGTCGATAGACCACGGACACTCCTCAGTGTTATCAATTTAGCATAACTGAAACTTTTTGTTGTTTGCTTGGCGATGTACACTGTAGGCCCAGGCATTAGGATCAAGTTGCCCAGGAATTGTTGTGTTGGAGGTTTATTTGGCAAATCAAATTTCCACATTTCATTTCATGGTACAGATCTGATTCCGTTTTTTTTTTTTTTTTTTTTATCAAAAAAGGTGTGCTTTTTCACGAATTTGTATTTAAAGAATTAAATATCTACTGAGGCACATATATAGAGCCTTAATGACTTTTTAAATTCTGTGGTTAATAGGCATTTTGTATGTTTGTTTTGTGTGTGTTTTTTCCTGCACATTTATTGTATTTTTTTAACAAATAGATTTTATGAATTTGTCATATCTGCTTTAAAAGGGAATGTACTTGGTCATTAATTTCCCCCCTTATTTCTCGCTTTTTAAATATACAGCTTTATTCTAAAGAACAAAAACAAAGAAGCTACTTCCTCTAGCAGCATCATTACACAATGGAGCTGTTATTTTTACCCAAGTTTCTTTTGTAATCTTGAATTTAAAAAAAAAAAAAAAAAATGAAAAACTTGACTTTTAACCGATTTTCTGTCTTATTAAAACTGGGGGGGTATTTATGTTATTTTCTAAATGAATTTCATACCTGTTACACACATGTCTGTTATATAACTGAATATGTATGTATGTAAATTAATTTACTAATAAACGGTTTGTGCTAAATGGTGTTTTCAAATTAATTCTCATCAAAGTTGTAGTGTTCGCATTTGTAAAAGTATGAGCAGCAACAGAAGAATGACTCATACACCTATGCTCACACTAGTCAACGGTTATAGACACGCCCACCTAGCTGTATCAACCAGTCAGATCAAAGTGTTTTGTGCCTAGCTTGAATGCTCATTGGTTGCTATGCGATCGCTTTGTTCGTAATCTGTGCTTTTGATTGGCTGAAACGGTGATTAGGCGGAGAATTCCGTTTGTCAACCTAAGTTTAAACAGGGGGGCGGGATGTGATTTAAAAAATTCGTTCAAGCATCGGTTAGTGTTGTCGACTCCACTGAACACAGCCGGTAATATACATCATGTCAAATAATACTGCTATGAATTTATATTTAAAGTTGGATTCAATACTTTTTAATAGATTGCTGTATAAACGAGTTTGTTTATGATTTTATTAGCGCATTCGCCAACTCGATAGGTTAACTGACGAGTGGGTTTTTGTTGTTCCTATTTCAGCTTTAGATAACTCAAGATCTGTATTCGTTGTTTCGTAGGTTTTATAAATGCTCGTATTTTATTAACATTAAGTTACGTAGGTTCGTTTAGGTTATGTATCTGCTATATTATTAGTAACTTAGGCCTTTACCATCCAAATGAGAAACCGTTTAACATTAACGTTACTCTTTGAGCACAAACTCGAAGCATTTCAGTCTTGTTCGTTTTGTCAATTTATAAAAGATGAATTCGATTCAGCTTCATGGGTTTCCATCGACTGGTTTAGTTAGTTTAGCCTGGTTGACGAAGCTCGCTATCGCAATGTGTAACGTTACAGCGTAAACGTGTTTTCTGTGATCGATGTGCGCATTTATAAATATATTTTCCTCATGTCCCACGATCTCAGATCCGACGATGGCCTCTCAGAACATGGACCCCGCCGCTTCAACAGCAGCTCTGAAGGGCAGCGAGACGAGTACAAGTGTGTCGAAAGGATCCGTCACTAAAAGGTTTGATTGTCCAGATATTACTTTTAAATTTTGTGAAACATCGTAACGTTATGTGCGACACACACATCATGGGCCATTCTCTGAAAGAAATGCAAGTAGGATTTATATCGGTAATATTTTCATAACTTGGAATCAATTCTAATGAGATCAATAAGATATCCTGTAACAACTGGATTCCCACAATTCCCATAGCCTTGTTTTATGCTTCTTTGGTTCGGGAAACATTGTAACTTAATCTTTATCAGAACAGAATTTGTATTGAAATTGTGTTTATAGTACTGGAATTAAACAATATCACGTGAGCAAGTGTAACGTTACTGCGGTTCTGAATGTCAGTGCGATTGTGATTAACTTGTTTATTAAACTCGCAATGAAAGCAGAGAGTAACTTGTCTTTCTGAGTCTGACCAAAACTGTTTATTTATTCCCCTTTCTGTCAAAAATGGTTGCAAAAGAATTCAAAGCATCAAACTGTGTAATGGGAGTTTCAAAATCCTTAAAGTTTAAATGCATTGTGAATGTTTGTTATTGGTAATCATATTGGTCCTATCCAGAGCTGGAATGTACTTGTTTATTTCCTCTTAGGGTCCTTTTTTTCTGAAATTCATATTTCAGTAGAAATCTATTATGACTTTTGTGCCTAGGGGTTGCTAGTTTCTCAATTAGTTTCACTGGTGGTAATACCACTTTTAACACATACATTTATCTTGGCATATGAAAATGACACTGGCGTTTACATGCAACCAAATATTCCATTAGTGATCGGATTGACGGTTCAATCGGACTGAAGAACTTCATGTAAACGCCTTAATCGATCCAAATGAAATTGATCGTATTGAAAGGGGTGGTTTATTCCTTTCTAATCCGATCCAGAGAACATGTAAACACTTGATTGGATTGAAAAAGAAACTGAAAGGACTGTGCATGTGCAATGATGTAGCAATGGCGTAATTGAATCAAAAGGTGTGCATGTAAAGAAAGCCACTGAACAATATTAGTTTTCTTTTCAAATGAGACCTAGTGCTAATTCAAATTAAAGTTTAGCACTTATTCTTTTTATTCACATTAATGTTCAATGTCTCCCCTTTCCCTCTAGGCTTCAGCAAGAGCTGATGACGCTAATGGTAAGACCTTTATTTAACACAGGTATTCTGTTTAGTCTCTTTTAAGGGATAGTTCACCCAAAAATTTCTGTGATTTGCTCACCCTCAACCAGTTCCAAACCTGTATGAATTTCTTTCTTCTACTGAACACAAGAGATCTTTTGAAGAATGTCAGAAACCAAACAGTTGATGCATCCAATTGATTTCAATATAAGTTTTTCCATGATATGCAAGTCAATGGGATCCATCAACTGTTTGGTTACTGACATTCTTCAAAAGATCTCTTGTGTTCAGCAGAAGAAAGATATTCATACAGGTTTGGAACAACATGTGGGTGAGTAAATGATGACAGAATTTTCATTTTTGGGTGAACAATCCCTTTAACTGTTGTTTAACTCAATGCTTTGTGTCAATGCAGATGTCAGGAGACAAGGGTATTTCAGCATTTCCAGAGTCTGACAATCTCTTCAAATGGATCGGCACAATAGATGGAGCTCAAGGAACGGTGGGAGGAGTTTTTCTCTTGATGTCAGGAAATGTGGTTCTTGCATACAGTATACTAATGTAGGTTGTCAGAGTCCTGCATAAATCTATGTTTCCTCCCTGTTTAGGTTTATGAAGGTTTGAGGTACAAACTTTCACTGGAGTTTCCTAGCGGCTACCCCTACAACGCCCCTCGGGTGAAATTCGTCACTGCTTGCTTCCACCCGAATGTTGATGAGAATGGTTTCATCTGCCTAGACATTTTAAAGGACAAGTGGTCCGCACTTTATGACGTTCGCTCCATACTGCTGTCCATCCAGAGTCTACTCGGCGGTAGGTTCTGCTTTCACATGAGTTGGAATTTAAATTGATCATGATCTTCAGGATGTTTAATTGAAATTAGACAACACAACAGGATTTCTTTAATTCGACAAGTTTTGCAACAGTATGATTTCATAACTTTGCCAATGCCTATTTATCCCCTGATACGTAGAATCCTTTAATTAAGGTCTTAATTAATTTGAGGTGAACTACTTTTTGTTAGTGTATATAAAGTAGCATGTCTGTTTTCTGATTTGGTCTTTAAAGTAATTTACCGTTGTACTTTTGAATTCTTGTTTTTAGAACCAAACAATGATAGTCCAATGAACTCTGCAGCTGCTGAACTATGGGATGACCAGGAAGGTAAGAGAACATGCCAAAATGAAGCAGTTGTTTGAAACTTTAGTGTTTTTAGAGAGTTATGCCATAAACTGACATGTTTCAAATCACTTGTTGCAGCCTTCAAAGCCCATTTGCACACAACCTACAAGAAATGAACAAATGTCTGCCTCTTGTTTTACCTGTTTCTTGTTCAAATTCATAATGTCAATGTTCTGTAATGTCTTTGTGTATATTATTTCTGTGTTGTATTAAACTTGCCTAAATAAAATGCTGAATGAAATGTGCCTAATTATTAAAATAAAAAAGGTTGGAAATAAGACCATAATTTTAAGTTTCCTTTTTGTTTTATTTTTTATTTTTACAGTATGAAGGCTTTCTGGTGAATAACATTGCCACCATGTTCAGACTGTCTTAAAGGAGTAGTACACTTAACAATTAAAATTCTGTAATTTCTCACCCTAAGTTGTTTCAAACCTGTATGAATTTTTCTTCTGCTAAACCCAAAACGAAGATATTTTGAAGAATGTGGGTAACCAGACAGTTGATGGACCCCATTGACTTCCAGAGTATTTTCTTTCCTAGTATTGAAGTCAATGGGGTCCATCAGCTGTCTGGTTGCCGACATTCTTCAAAATATCTTCCTTTGTGTTCAACAGAAGAAAGAAATTCATACAGGTTTAAAACCATTGAGGTTGAGTAAATGATGACAGAATTTAAATTAAGTGAACTATTCCTTTAAGAACTAGATTGACCAACTAGCTGTTAGTCGATGGGTAATCAGTCTTACTTTTCAGATTCAAATGAGACCAAGCTACTTTATTTATGCCCAGTCTCAAAGGTAAAAAAAATAGATGACTGACTTGTAAAACTTGTAAAGCATCTTATGCAACCAGCCACAGAAAATAATTATAGTCTGAAAAATGATCAAATTGAAGGGTTTACAGGGTATGATGGTTAACAATTTAATCTGTTATTGCAGAATTCACGTCTCAATTTCAAAACTTTGTTCACCCAGTTCCTTAACTTAGCTGAGTAGACATAGTAGACAGCCTACTTTGCAGTTGTGGTGCTGGCAACAACCTGATATATTATTTTGAGACACCACCTCCACTTCCATCATGTCCTCCAAACTTTCATCCTCTTCTTGCCCACCATCAGCTTCTTGTGTGGGTTCAATAGACCACAGTGGCACGTTAACTCTCTGGAACATTTCTTCAAGCTGAACGTCAATCTCCTTTATGTGGGTCTTCAGGTCTGGTCTTTCCGTCTCCTCTATTGATAACCATGGCGTCTGCACCATCGCTGCTCGAGCTGCGACTTCTGAAGTTCCACCTGCATAACCTGTGTTGACAAGGGCTTGTCGATCTTTGCGCTGGGTGAGGGGGAATATCTCTTGCAAGGCTCTGACCTTCTTTAGGTCCTGCTGGAAGTTTTCCAAGCTGGACAAGAAGATCGCCCAAAGTCGTTCAACCTGTTCTTTGTCCTCTTGTCCTTGCTCCATTTCTGTCAGCAGAGCTAGCAGCCTCCGGTGAAGCCCTGAAACATGAGTCGATCAAGTCAACTCTCGACAGTTTGAATGTGGCGTAATTGAATATGGCCAGCTGATGTGCAGAAAAATACTGAAAGGAGAATGTGAAATTTCTGCACCGCTAGCGTCACCAAACTGATTGCCTTTTATTTTTTAAGTACTTGTACTCCTTGTCTTTTTGTTTCTGCTTGTCCTGTCTTACCTGAGCATATTTTATGAGCTACTATCCTGGTTTCATCCAGCTCCTCTCTAAGGAAGCTCCCGTCAATGTTGCTCCCCAAGGAGGTTGCCATTTGCTGGAAGCAGGCTGTCACTTTACTCAGGGCGGCATGTGCCCGTTCACTTTCATTCACCTGCCTCTTTCTGGTTTGGATCTCCACCACTGACTGCCGCCAGCGATTCATTACCACTTGTGTTGTGACCAACCTAAACTTGGCAGAATATTAAAGAGTTATTGTTGGTCTTACAATCTCAGAATGGGTCTGGCCAATTCTTAACTAAAATAATTTGAATGATAAATTGGCATACTTTTTGTCTGAACTAAATGTATGAATTTTTGTTTACTTTTTCTAATCTAAGTCAAATGAATAGACCATAACCATATCTTTTTACACTCATAAATTATTTAGCTTTCATTGCAAACTTGTGCCTCGTTTTAAAACCAAAGTATAGTTCTTATTTTACCTTATTTCTAATATCATTTTGATATAAGTTCAGACTAAAGGTTACATGTGTTTGCATTTGTACACCAAACATTTTACTGAAAAAAAAAAAGCCACTTACAGTTAACTGAGCCTCAAAGATATCCGTGTGATTTCATAGCCCTCTGAAACTTGCAAGCTGTTTTGACAGTCCTGTTTTTCAGTGCGATTACATCCGTTTGAGACACTTCTGCCAACCTCCTTGTATTCGTATGCTCACCTTACTTTTTCCAAAGCTTTTATAGAGGCCGGTCTTCAGGGACACTTGTTAAAATTAGGCCCAAACCTTGCAGTCCATGCTCCCAGAATACCTTGCGCTGTAGATTATGTCAAGAGATCTTTCTTTTTCAGAAAAAAAAAACATACAGCATTGGGAGGACAAGATTTGAGATCAAGAGATCCATGCATACTGACTCTCTATGTGCGGTTGTCTGTGTATATATATGTGTGTGTGATAATGTGTGTGCTGTGCACAATGGTTTCTGTGAAGTTAATTGTCCACAGGGAGAGTGTATTGTATTGTGGAGGAACAGACGGGGATCCTTTATTGACTCTCTTGTGATTACTTGGGCTTGTTTGAGAGCTGTGTGTCGCTTGATCCAACACGTACGCTCCCATGGGTTAAGTCTCCTGAGCAACACAAGAATATTAGTTCATTCAGTTAGCAAAACAGCAAAGCTGTAATAGGCACTCATAATTCCTTAGTCATAATTATAATCTGCTTCACACTCAAAATTGTGATGTAGGAGGGTATTCCTCGTATATAACCCATGGTTTATCAATGGCTATTATATTTTAGGAGGTCAGTTGCAAAAGGAATGTATCCTTTTCTTGTCTTTTCCAGAACTATAATCTAGCAGTCTTCAAGTATGGTAAGTGCACTTGATAAGTTTTATCTATAATTGAGTTAGATATGGAAGAATCTTTATTGAATATCTAACAGGTGGCTTTAAAGTATTTGTTCATTCTCATAGCAATGACAAACACAAAATCACTTATTTTACATATACATTACAGCTTGGCCATTGACATGCCTTACAAAGGCAACTAGGAACTTCAACGAGAACATTGAGACAATGATTAAAATTATACCACAGATAGATAACAGAAAATGAACAAATTCATCTAGAATTATTAAACACATCCTGTGGTTGTTTCCATAAAGTGTGGAAGGACTTCATTCTCTGTTGCGTGTTAATTATATCACAGTTGTTGAAGACCCATTGGGTGAGCTAGACGTGATACAAAACCACAGCGTTCTGATGCAGTCCAAAATCAATACCCGCAGCTTGCGTTGGTAATCAAGCTTTAGCTGCTAAAGACAAGTATAGTTGGCCCTGCATAAAATGTGAGGTGATTTACAAGGAGTTCACTGGTAGATGCTGGTATAGTGAGGTGGGGTGGGAAAAATGTGGTGTCTGGGATTAACAGATATACATCAGTCATTTGGCTTTTGTTCTTTTACAGGTCTTGCTAGTATCAGCCTGATGATCGTAGGGTGCTATGTGGCGATGGCCTCCATGATCTCGTGGCACAGACATTGGCAGAAGCCATAGAATATGCAAAGGACCAGGGTGGAGGGCACCAAGCTGACCAGGATCACTCCCATCGTGAGCTGCTGGATCATCAGCAAGTAGATCCCCAGTGGCAGCGAGCTGAAGTACACCAGGCAGAGGAAACCCATCAGAAAGCGGGGAACCGAACGGGACGTCCAAGCCCGACATTTCTGCACGGGCAGGTGGCAAGGCAAGGAGTCCAAACTGGCTGGCCGATACAAGCGCACCATGTTCAGCATGCTCATAGATTCGGAGGGCTGAGACTCTCCAGGGACTTCCATGATTGTGATGACGAGGCAATCAGAGGAGCTGTGGGCCTGCTCTCCTCCACTCAGGCTGTTGGGCGTCAAAAGGACCTCACCGCTGGGTACGGTACCACTCTTACGAGCCCGGTCCTGGTAAGTCAGAATGGCCAGAATGTTGCTGTCGTCTTGAAGAAGCCAGATCTCCTCGTCAGGGACGTGAGTCTCGTGGCGACAGAAGGGGCAGCTGATGATGCTCGGAGAAGAGTCCAGCTCCACCATCTTCTTGAGACATTTGGCACAGACGCGGTGCAGGCAGCTCAACACCTTGGGCTTGCGGGCCCGGGTGTCAAAGCGATTGTAGCAGATCTTGCACTCCAGTTCCTCTACTGTGTAAATCACAGGCGCCTGGGAGCTCTCGGTCTCTGAGTCGGACTTCAGGCTCATCCTGAGAGATGAAGCGCCAGGTGTGAACCAGGTGCGAATGTTCAAATTAAGCAGATTTTAGTGCGCTGTAGAAGCAGCACCTGAGCAGAGTCCTTGGTTGCCTTTGTTTTTCTGCTTTGTGTTTGTTTTTCACCAAAAAGCATTGCTTAAATGAACTTTTACAAGACCTTGCAGCACATAATGCTTATTAGAGGTCCGAACAGAAAGCTTAACACAGTGTACATGTCCATGATATGACACCCTGATATATTTATGACAAGCTAGAGATACATACAATACAGAAATTCAGTGCATGCTAAATGAGTATCTTCATTCACTGTTCGCATGCAATTCAGAAACGTGCGTGGGTTTTTCCAGCCTTTTTTTAGAGAAAGACAAAAGATAAATAAATATAGTTGACACCAGAGAGGTCCAAAATATATTCCATAGCAGGGCTTGTTAAGCGTCTGCCAATTCCTGTGAAATCAGAGTCTGGGCAAAGTGCATATATTTGTGTTGTTATCCATAGTTGATTCTGGAATGAGGTGGAAGAATCGCAGTTTCAGATAAAGTCAGCAGAATCATCCTGAAAACTGATATTTTCTTTCAATATTGGCCACACTTGATTATGACCTTCAACTATGAAATTTCATATTGTCCTTGGAGTTCTTGAAAATCTTTGTTCATTCTGCAAAAAAGCAGAAGAGACAGAGGCGTTACCTAGATACAATAAGAATGCAGTTGTTTCAAAAACATCAAAATTTATGTTAACACTTTGCAGCAGAAATGAAGAACGTGGCGGAATAGCTTGACACCTAGACTTACCTTTTGTGAGTAAAACCCCTGTAATGTCATTGAGCCAGCACTGCTAAAACCCCCTTATATTCATCAAGCCCTTCCTATCAGGCGTATAAAAGTGTCAACATAGGGGTGGGCGTGTGTGAACATGCACACTGCCCTCAAAAAACAGTTATAGTTGTCCTTTCCAGTATTCAGATTTATGGTTGATCATTGATCATGGATTTTTTTAATGAAAATGACTTAAACTTGAACCCCAGCTATTTGGTTACATATTCCTAGATGTTTTATTGATCAGATGGGACGTTTAAAGGAGATGCTCGCCAAGCGTAGGTGTGTCGAAACCATTCGAGCGAAGGCTGACGGAGGGCGTATAAAGTTGATATACGTAATTAGCTCCTGTATTTCCTGATTCCCTGTGGACGTGACTTACTCCAATCTGACAATGAGAGGCAAACAAGTGATGCAAGTGGAGTCTAACATAACAAGAGCGTGGCGAACATGCAAATTTAATTTCCCACAACGAAACATTTCATTGGGTTTTTTTTTCTCCATCTCTCTTTCCATGTCTCAAAGCGCAGGTAGTTAGAATTTGAAGCCGGTCTATAAATAGCATGTGTACGGCGCTAGAGGATACAGGACCCCCCCCCCAACCTTGATGACTGTGATAAGGACTGTCACACACTCATGTCCAAACGGTCGAGGACACAGAGATGCACTGAAATTATGACTTTGACATTATATGGCAGCTTGTCTCTAAGGGTTCTTCAGATAGGTAACAGAAATGGCAGAAGACACTGTTGAATAAAAGCCAGTGGGTCAAACATGACATCCAAGATGAAGTAAGAGGAGTGAAGGTTAAAAGAACGCTGAATTTATTTGCCATTAAAACGGCAGCGAGTCAATACATGCTAAGGGCACATCTACATTTAGCTGAGTAATCAATGCCTTTGCAGTGGAATATGTTAACTGCGTTATACTTGGGTCACGGCTGCAGTTTTCAAGTGGCTTGTAAATAAAGGTTCTTATTCAGATTAGTAATGTGCTATTTTTAAATGCAATTTGTGTGAGGCTGAAATTCAGGGGCTGGATCTGCACTTATGATAATGTTGGCTTTAAAATAAACATTGGCAAGAAAAGCGAGTGCGTCCAGCCTGAAATGGCAAGCATATGCATCTGCCTAAATTAGTTAATGCTTCCATTTATAGAACACGTCTTTCACAAACATGTCAGAGTGGTATTAAAGAAATAAGAAATATTATATTTATAAAAATTTGCTGTTTGGATTTAAATAGGCAAATGCTTAAGAGTCTGATTAGATTAATATTGCAGTGATTATTATGTTTCTAGCATATTATATAGTTCTTCGAACCCTAATTGATGGAGTGTGTAGCTTTTCATTTCTTAAACAACCATATAGGAAGACACATCATGGCCATATTCCAGGATGACAATGTCAAGATGCATCAGGCTCAGATTGTGAAAGAATGGTTGTGAGGAGCATGAAGAATCATTTTCACACATAAATTGGGACAGACTTTAAATTCAATGAAAGTGTTTGGGATGTGCTGGAGGAGACTTTACAGAGTGCTGGACTCTTGCATTGTCAATACAAGACCTTGACCAAAAACTGATGCACCTCTTGATGGAAATAACATCACAACATTTATTTCCATCAGATCCAATCATAGACTTTTAAGCATTTGCCTATTTAAAACCAAACAGCAATTATTATTATTTTGGCCGGGCAGTGTATATCATGGCAGTATTTTTTGTACTGCCTTCATATTTATTTAAATAAAAATCACTGCAGCATTACAGTAATAAAATGACCATAAATAATAATGGGAACTCTTAAAAAATAATAAGAACCTCCTTGACTCAAGTGATACCAATTATGAGAGGGTGGGAAAAAAAACAGAAAAAAATTGCTTAATTGTCATGATAATAATGTCAGAATTAAAAAAAATCCTCTAGGTCCTAAAATAGGCTTAATTGTCTTTATGCAAAAATGTTATTTCTTTTTTTGGGGGGTGAAATTGACATTTGGGAGATTAACTCTCAATCCTGAGGTCTGTAATGAAAAATCAATTTCTATCTGTTTAAATCATTGTCTGTTCAGGATGTCTGAGTGTCGGGTTTCTAAAATAACTGAATTTGAATAGTGAAAATGATGAAAAGTATCAGTTGGTGTTTGTCATCATTTTGCTTTGGTGACCTGTAGTGCCAGTAACGACAGGAGATGATTGCGTCTGTGTGTAGGCCGTGTGAGCAGCGGAAATAAAGATGCAAAGGGCGTTCACAGGAAAACACCATCTGTGTCCCGGTGCTGTGGGTTACATAAATAATACCAGCTCACCTGCCGGCTCCAATGTTTACGTCAGCCTTTTGAGGAGCATGCAGCCCTTCTGAAATGCTGCCTATTTTAAATGTTAGTTGGAACATATAATCCTTTATTTTCAGCTATTTTAATTAAGTGCAATCTCTAGAGTATATAACAACTTCATGTTTAGTTTAAATGGGATTAAAAAAAAAAAAAGATGATAATGAAGCTCTGAATTTAGAGCCTATGTTAAGTATCACTGATCAGGCATTAAAGTCAAACGGGTGATTCCAGGCTGACAACCAATGTTTACTAACCAAAGATGACTGAAGTAGTTCAGTTAGATTAGATATGCCGATAAAGCCTATTTAATGGCAAACAATAAAAGGGCATAACTACATGTGGCCTAGAAATTAACAAGAGTAGTACACCCATCTGTTTCTTCTTTTCAGATGCATTAAAATTCATATTAAGCAAGTCATGAATGTTTAACTAACCTGACGGTTGAAGATTCATTCAGGTGTTGAAAGCGTTGATTGTCAGTCCGACAACGTGAACAGCTTTGAGTGGAACGTCACGTGTTGTAATCTCTAATTTATGGTAATTACGACCAAGACAGGAAGGTTTTTTACGCTAGTGCAAAGAAATACACATTAGATGTGTAACTGATGCTTGAGAATTACAGGCGGGTAAAAAAAGGGCTGAAACTAAATTCTGCAGGAAGGTAATGATCTCCAGGCAAAGGACTGATCTAAAACTGGCAGAATTAGGAGAGTTATAAAATCATCAACACAAAAAGCAACAATATGCACTACCAGTACTAGATGTAGAATCAACACAAATGGCATCCAAAACTTAATGTATTTATGTAATCTGGTGTTTTTTCAAGGTATTTAATGAGGAAAAAAATGTAGGATTGGACTTCTATCCATTTCATCCAAAAGGATCCCTTTCTGAAACACCACTGGCACACATTTGATGAGGCTAAAGGTCAAGTTCATCCTCAAGAGCGTCTCTTCATGCATCAATGGTCTTCATTTTTATTGTTATTTGCTATCTTTCCGTTACAAGCATTAAATTACTGTTAACTATTGGCAAGATTTTAGAAAGGCTGCATTACAACAGTAATAACAATAGGTATCTGGCCCATATTTTATCAGCTGAAATTAGTTTAATAGGATTATGGAAACATTTATATATATATATATATATATATATATATACAATGTGAACTGCAAAATGAGACCTGGGATATGTATAAAGAAAGCCAATTGGGTGAAAGTGTAAAAAAATTATCTTAATTTTGGCACCGAGTTCAACATCTTGACAGGAATGAGCAAGCAATGTTTGATTTCTGTGCAAAACTAAAGAGATTGCACAATACAGGTAAATGAATCTCTTATATCAATTCATGTTGACCAGTAATTTAATTTATGCCAAGACTGACAGCAACTCATTGCACCCAGCGGAGCCATCCGGACATCAGCACTAAATGTACCCTTGTCTTGACAACTGAACGGAAGGATATCAGATTGTGATAAAGATAAACTACTATAGAAGCATTACCGATACATTTCAGATCTGTTCAACACGTTAGAAGAGATGCTATTAGTATATTGTGCAACCATATCTTATCTATTTACTTTTTTGTTATAGATAGCTGGTATATTTTGAAGCAAATTTCCTTTTGTGACTGTGCCAATGTAGAAAGCTCTCTACATTTTTTTGTAGTAGTTGTTCCTAATTTTGTGTGACAGCTCAGTGGTGATTTCACATGCGAGTTAGCCATTCAATTCCCTTAAGCGCAGGTTTAAATCCCACACAGGTAACCAGTGGCCTAGTTTAGACGAGTGACTCTTTCTGAGTCCTGGAGGAAGGGGTACATCTACATGTGGGCCCAGATTTTGAAGAGATATTTTGTAATGCCGGCCACTGGCAAAAACCACTGAAAAACATCAACAAAAAGTCGTAAAGATCAACCTGTTCTCAAGTGACCGTTGGGTTTTGCTAAGACGTGCCTTTTTGCAATCAGGAACATTGCCAGGTCTGAACACTGTTGCTATAAATAAGTATAATCTGGGTTTTGAGGTGCAAAGCACTTAGAATCGTTCCATCTTTTGCACACTCTCACATGTTCTTTGTGAAAGCAAGAATTGAATCCTTTTAGACAATTATGTTGCTCTTAAGCATGTATTAGGCTATAGTTTTAATAATATGTTTGTGTCTTGCATCTAGAACTGACTCTTTAAAGTGGCAGACTCTATTAATGATGGCGTTCGAGAGGCTTTTTCAGTGAGGTAATTACTATTCATCCTCCACATCAGACATTATATAACATGCTAAGACTCTTTCTCTCCCCTCTTAGTTCTCCCGATGACTGTAGTCACAGTTCATTAGTGAGGAGTCTGATACAGCTAGATATCATGTACTCAATACAATACCTCTTTAAATCATTCAAACAATTCATCAAAGAAATAGGCATTTAGCCTAATTATTTTATTCATTATTTTTGGGTACAGACTCGTATTCAGATGGGAGAAATTTTATGAACAATTTTAGAGTCTAATTATTTTTGGGTACGGACTCGTATTAAGATGGGAGAAATATTTTGAACAATTTTAGAGTCTATCAGTTAAAATATCAAGACTTATGAGAGATTTGTACAGTGCATTTGTCATTGAGCCAATCATTTTAATAGGAAAACCTATGCAAATTACCTTAAATTACATCAGCTGTTTATAAAACCATTAAAGTAATATAATGTTTCATAAAATCAAGCGAACTAATAAGATTTCAAAAGTCTCACCAATTACTTTGCATGATTCAAATATATTTATTTAGCTACTATAATGTTCATCGCTGGTCCAACAAGTATTTTTATATCGTGAATTGTATTAGATCAACAGAACAACAGCATACTGATATTGGATAACGTCTCTAGTTTTAGGGGTTTTTTTGCAATAAACAAACACAAGTAAGCTAATCACATAGATAACGCTATCTGTCGCTGTGTATAGGTTACTATAATGTTTTGTTATTGCCGATTTTACATTGTTATTGCCCATTTTGCATCGCTTTTCTAACTCATTCGTCGTTTTAATATTTAAATGACAGCTCGGATAAATGTAGTTAATTATTAAAACAAATTTGTCACACGTTTGCCTTTGAAAAAAGTCGCGTTTCGGCGGGCGTCGTAAAAAATGTCCTTCGAATGCGTCGCGTGGAAACGTGATTACGGTTGAAAACCCATATAAACATTTGATGCATATTCATAATTTAACGAACAGAATCACGGTTTATATAATAAGCTGTACGCGTTTATAATCCGCAGTTATCGCAATGACACTCACCCTCAGGTCCTGATTGCGGCTCGTCGTTTAAAGCGTCGTCCCTCCAGTCTGATATAACAGTCGTCCATTACCGCCACATTTTATTTTTCTCTTCGCTTTGTGGTGAGTCACAGTCAATCTTGAGGTCCCATCTGTCCGAGCACAACTGCTACATCCCCCTCATTGCGGTAATGCTACGGATTCAGAAGCTGCACAGATTTCTCCTCAGTGGTTGCTGTGGCAACAGGAGCCAGCGCGCGCTCCGACCGGTGTCCACTCACTGAACTAACGCGTTTGACTTTCTCTTTACCGGACGCACGTGAGCGCTGCACTGGGAAGACGGGCTACTTTGACGCGAATAGATCAGTCTAAAATTATTATTTTTAAAATACTCATCAAGCACATATTAAATCTTCTGTGCTATATTAGCTACTAATTAATGTGTTTTCTTACTGTTTTTTTTTTTTTTTCTAATTTCATGCAAGGTCACAACAGCAGGATTTAAAGAAATGCATCTTATTAATGTGTCATTGTGTGTGGCATGATGTGGCATGCTCTTTTGTCAGTGTTACACACTTGGGAACCAGTAACACCCCTGGCAGTAACACTTATTGAATCAGTTAACATGGCGGATGACACAGCAAAAACAACAGATTAACAACCTATTATAAAATGCATAGGGCAACATGGGGGAAGATGCCCCCCTTAAGAGCAATGTGCATTTACTTTTAAACTGTAACATATTTAGATTTAAGTTTAGCATGTGCAGGATGATGATGCATCCCCCAGTGTGTTATCAAATATTAAAAGAGGGGTAAGAACCGCACCCAACTCCCCTGGATAAATGGTGACCAAGTAAAAAAAAAAAAAAAAAAAAAAAATTATAATCAGATTTTTTTTTTTTGTCATACTGTCTAAACTGTTTGCTTGAAGCATGTAAAGTCACATCATTTTAATGGCAAACCTTCTAAAGGGCAAAGCTAGTGTGTCACAAAACTATTGTGTAGCTATAGCAAGTTCATGGCTGTTGCAACTGTCCCTTGTCAAAACATTGATGTAAAACCATGTCATAACATTACAAAATTACAATTTTATGTAAAGAAACCCTTTTAATATTAAGTTATCTCCCCTTTTTTAAGTAAACAGTTTTTAAGTAAAAATCTGACTAGGCATATTTGATCTGTTCTGTGTTTTCAGTATGCCACAAGGTACAACAAAGGGGTGTCCCTCTGTTCCGATGTTAACAGCAAATATAGTGAAACATAAAGGCAGGGCACTGACGTCTGAGGCAAAACAAAAGACTGACATTTGCCACATGACCTTGCAAGAATATATTCCAACATTCACTTAAACACACAGTTCAGTCAGCTTTCACAGGAGCAGAAATGTAACATTTCAGTGTGTTGATTTTGATTTAAAAAATATTATTGTAGTTCAAATGTATTGTAAGAATTTACCAAAACCCTGACTTGTTACTTGACCATGTTTTCCCCCTTTTACTAGTCTTTGTCTTTATATAGCAAATGTAACTTAGTGAAGACCCTTGTGCCCAAGTAAAATAAATACATTTGAAAATGATGTATGTCTTTATTACATTTTAACGAATGTTGCAAGTGCAACCCTCTCCTTATGGGGTCTATTGCAACATTTGACTTTGTCTATTCAAGTATAAATTGAACTTTATCACATGTTGCAGCAGTGTGTGTGTGTGTGTGTGTGTGTGTGTGTGTGTGTGTGTGTGTGTGTGTGTGTGTGGCTATAAGAGATATGGGTATATTGTATCACATTTTGGCTTTCCAATACACAGTCTCTGAGAAACTCAAGGAAATGCAAAAAGTGTTACATTCCCCCCCTACACTTTCTCATGCAGTGCAGTGGGATGTGTTTTAGATGCAGTGTGTACTAGCCTATCTGCCACACTGCTGTCACTGCTTGAAATCCCATATCAAGTACTCATTTTGATGAAAAATACCCTTTCAAATGGCAGTCCAGTAGATGGAGCCATTGTTGTTGCTAAAGAACCCATAAGGTGGCATGAGGATGGACAGGTGTAAACGGCAGGAATGAATCACTGTAAAAACAAAGACTCCTATCATTTGCATCTGCCATTCTAAAAATATCCGTGCGGCGCCTTTAAGAGTCTGGCAGAGAATAGATCTCAGGATAATCGATTTATTCCAATAGACTATACCTGTAAACCTGTATTCAGGTTAACCTAAATCATAAAGGCCCAAATCGTAATTCAAACGATACATGCATTCGTTCTTGTAAACAAGTAGCACAATGAAAGCATAACCGAGAGTCAAAATACGTTTTACTTTACACATGAATTAGATGCACAACTCTTTAATTTATTTACACTTATTAGAGTGTTCTGCATCTCTAAGAACCATTTTCTATAACATTCTGACCAAATAAATCGTATAGGCTATATTTTTGGTTTATTCTTAGACTTAGTTTCGGTCGCAGAGGTTTCTGAGGGAGTTTCTTTTCTAACAGGAAGCTGTTCAGCATCTCTCGCGCTCTCACGAGCAATCGAATCATCAGTAGAGCGCGAGCGCGGCTGACTGACAGTTCGTTCCGTTGCCTTAGAAACTAGCGTAACTATCGCTATAACCGGTTTTATTTCGCGGAAACTATCGTGGAATTGATTAATTGCAACCTTTTCGTTTTTTCTACTTTTTCAAATAATTTTTTTTTTTTTAGGGGGCGTTGGTTTGAAAACTTATCCAATGAGTAATTTATACGAAAATATCGACGGTCAAGAAGAACAGGACTTTCCATTACTTTTATTTTACAATCAACCTGGCGGAGACTTACCTCCAGATGACCAAGGTTAGTGAATATCACTAATTCTTAATCATAATTTGATTTAGACCTTTCCTCCCATAACAATTATTTTCCCTATCTTCTTATAACTTAGCCTAATTATTTTAATTATATACAAAGCAAATAATTGTCTTTGTATTAGTCATTTATCTTACAAAAATAGTAATATGGTACAGTAGTGATACTTTATCATAACGTTACTATGGTGCTGAAAGATTACCACATACAATGATACTCCAAGGTAATTCAACGAATAAAATATTACCGTCATACTATTGTAACATTTACGGTAACATTTTGCATTTCCGTTTTAAATTGGAGTAGAAGATGCATTGGGTTCAAAAGTGGGTTACACACATTATGTGAAACCAAAGATGTAGTGGAAACTTTCGCTGCAGCTTAACTGTTTTGTTTTCAAGTATTAGTAAAGAAGAGCCTACTAGTTTACAGGAAACGTTTAGAATTTTCTATTCTAAATGTTGGTTATAATGTATATACACACAGCTAAAACATGGTGAAATGACTAATAATGTGTTTTCCCGTTTGTTTGTTTTTTTGTAGCTGATGACTCTGGCGTCCCCTCCAACCATGGCACCAATCAAACTTCCCCATGCATTTATCAAGACCCTTCACTTTACAGTGAAGAGACCATGTCCCAGCTTTCCAACCATTTCCCCACCAATGACCTTCTCACTTACGAGCAATCTGATCTCAGACAGTCTCTCGATCACTCCTCTTTGCTTGCCGCCCACCCTGGAGCCATCCAAGGCAACCGCCCGAGAATTGAGATCACCTGCCCTGACCTGCACCACCATGACCATGTCCTCACCAACCCTGTGAACATCAATCGGCCCATGCTCACAGTTCCAGGGTACGACATGCCCTACAGGGAGAACCAATGCCTCAGTCCGGCTAGTAGCACGTCCTCTACTAGCTGGCATTCAGATGGCTATTCTCCAGGAACATACTCTCCATGCATCTCTCCCGGAGCTGGTGAAGGAAGTCTGGCCGGAGTGACTGAAGCCGATCTTTGCCCGATGATGCAGGCCATCCAAGCCTCAGGTTCTCCCAACACGTCTCCTCGCACCAGCATCACAGAAGACACCGTCCTGGACCGCCGCTCATCCTCTCCACGTTCTCGCTCGGCTTCTCCACAGGGGAAGCGCACCTACGTTCAGACTCAAAACCTCCATTTTGTCCGAGACGAGCCCACCGAGTTCTATCCACTGGCCAACTTGGAGGATTCCTTGAACAACCTCAGCAGCTTGACTAAACCGATCCCTACTAAGATCGTCAGACCAAATCTAGAGTATTCTGTCTACACGGAAAGCCAGGCGAGCCTGTTCCCAACCATGACGGAAGTGAAAAAAGAATTCACTATGGAATCGTGCTATTTCATGCCTCCCAACTGGTCCAGTCAGGCTCTCCCAGGGGTTTGTAGGTATGAAATAACCGATCAATAACCAATCAGTCAGTGACAAAGCAACAGTCTTGCATTTATTCATTTAGCAGATGCCTTTATCCACTTATAAATGAGGAAAAACTCAATCAACTGATTATAACCAGCACCACAACACATGGGAAATGAGATTTCCCAATACATCTGTTATTTCTCCGGGCAGCAATGATATTAAATGGAGAGTCATATTGGAGACTTTTGGTTTCTCAAATTTCGAATTTAAAAAAAGGCCTCAGTTTTACACTTGTCTCTTCTAGAATCTCAAAAATATCTCAAATTGTACTCAGATTTATCAAAATATCAAAAGTCAGCAATCTCAATATAAACTCAAGCATTTCTAATCAAATTCTCCAAATATTAATGGAGCTGAGCTGCTATCCATATTCATACTCTTACTGCATGACTAGTTTATCATTGTGTCTGTTTTAATTTCTTCTAATACAGTTTGGGAGAGACAAAGTCTTGAGCCTGAGCTCTGAAAGAGCAACCTTTGAGCAATAAGTTTCATTTGGAAAAAACAGATTTTCAAAGTAAACCAGAATAGTGCAAAGATTAAAAAGTGTGCACATCTACAGTCCTGGCCCAAATGGATTTTTATTCCCAGATCCTCCTGCTTATTATTAAGTGAGTAAATAAGTGATCTGTGATGGTTATTGTGATTGACTTAACAGTATCTCATCTCCCAGTATGCCAGTGGCTGCGTTGCCTGCGATGGACTGGCCTCTTCCCAGCAGCAGTGAACAGTATGAGCTCAGGATAGAGGTTCAACCCAGACAACATCACAGGGCCCACTACGAGACCGAGGGCAGCCGAGGGGCCGTCAAAGCATCAGCCGGAGGCCATCCTGTCGTTCAGGTAAAATGAGGACAGGGCTGTGTATTTAGAAGAAGCAAAGCCGTGGGAGGGCGGAAAGGTTGTTTTTGTTTGTCTCTTTAAGGACGCGTGGGGAGTGATGTGAATATGACAATTCTTGAGAATCGCTGCGTGTGAAAATGTGCACAAACGGTTGTGTGAGCGATTTAAAGACTTGAAACTGAGATGGCTGTCAGTGAAGAGCTTGATGAGACAAACGAGGGGGAGACAGATAGAGATAATGCAATGATTGTGGTGACGTTGTTTCCCTGTTACGGCGTGAAGTACGGTGTTTAGGGAAATTAGCTATCGCTGTGCCAACATGTCATATCATCTACACTGACTGAACCTTTCACTCAGCTTGTATGCATATCTGTTGAAAATTAAGACAAAAAGTGTTGTGACTTCATGCATACACTAAAAATCAGCAGATTTAAAGACACCGAGCAAACATTTGCATTTAAATATCCAGTTACAGGAATTTTTTGCAACCTCAATCACACATTTGTATCTTGTGTCACATATTAGATCACCCTTTGATTGTTAGAATAGTGTAAAGCATGTGTAGATATAAACTGTGGTTTATAAACCGTTTCAGTTGCGAGGGTACACCGGGACGGAGCCGCTGGCTCTGCAGATCTTCATCGGCACGGCTGACGACAGGAACCTCAGACCTCACGCGTTCTACCAGGTCCACCGCATCACCGGCAAGACCGTCACCACCAACAGTCAGGAACGAATGTTGAGCGGAACCAAAATCCTAGAGTTGCCACTGGAACCCAAGGAGAACATGAGACTTGTGTAAGAAGATAGTGATAGCAAAGAAAGAAGACCGGGGCTAGTTGTCACATGTGGAAATTGTCTCAAGCTCTGTATCTCAAAAAAGCTGTGAGGTTTTGAGTCAAATATACACTTCTACAAACGCTAGTGTCCTCAACTCACCTTTATCTATAAAGCGCTTTATACAATACAGATTGTTTTAAGGCAGCTTTACAGAAATAAAGAGGAAAATAACAGAATCTCGATTATGCAAACTTCATGAAATATGAGACAAATTCAAATTCTGCTGTAAAGCACCCGAAAAAGACAATAGTGTCTTTATTTAGCTCAAGTCAGTTCAGTAACTGTAAAGTTAATCAGTTATGAAACGAGCAGCTCTACAGAAGGCAATAGTTTCATTATTAAAATTCAGTTCTATAACAGTGTTGCTGATATTGCAAAATTTGTCAATTATGAAACAAATTTTATTCAGCTATATATTCTGCAGCTTTTACATTTGTTGCATCGTGAACAGTTTAATTCTTCATATTTGTTTAAATGTAGCTGAAAACGTTTTAAATAGCCTATAACATGCATGATGCAGGTTCTTATTATGACAACTTACCCCATATAGTGTAAAAACATCCCAGTTGCAATGGTGGAAATGTTCAATAGCCAAACCCTGATGGTATGCACCAGAAAATACTTTCAATAATAAACCTGCAGAAATATTCTGGGGAAAAAAGTGACAAATAGCCTCCACTATATCTAGTTTAGGATAGTAGATAGTTTCTGTTCTTGGAATATAAAAAAAATTGAAACCAAAATTGATAAAACATGAACAGGACGTGATAAAAGATCCAGTGTTTTTTGAGTTTTGCATGCTAAGTCTATGTCTATGTTAGAGTTGACTGTGCTGGTATCCTGAAACTGAGAAATGCCGACATTGAGCTGAAGAAAGGAGAGACGGATGTGGGACGGAAAAACACCCGAGTGAGAATGATCTTCCGTGTCCACGTTCCTCAACCCGGAGGCCAGTGGCTCTCTCTCCAAGTGGCCTCACAGACTATTGAGTGCTGTACGCATTGTAACTTCCCATTTCAAACTCATTATTTTAACCATACATTTTTATGCATGTTTTTGCAGAATGTGCACTTGCAAAATAGTAAAACATCATATTTTCAATATTAAATGCATGAATGCCATGGGTTGTTTTACAGCTCAAAGGTCGGCCCATGAGCATCCAGCGGTAGAGCGTCAGGACGTGGACCACTGTTCGGTTCTGGGTGGACTGCAGATGATCCTTAGGGGCCAGAACTTCACTTCAGAGTCCAAAGTCATCTTCTTTGAGAAAACGCATGGTGAGTAAAACTCTTTTTCGTTGAGAGGGTTGGTCACACTTTTACTGATTGTGGTTAATTAATGGATATTTCAGTGGGTGTTTAGAGAGCAGAGAGGTCGCCACTGGCTCCAAAAAATTATTGGGACACTTAAGGCACATTTAAAAATGTTTGAACATTATCGCATTAAATGATAGACTAAAATAAATGGCTGTTGATTTTATTTTCTATTATCTGATGCAATAACATTAAGACATTTTTAAGTGTTCAAATCCAAATCATGTTATGTATAGGCTATTTAAAAGGTTTTCAGCTACATCTAAACTCTGTATCTCTGACACACAAACGTCACTATGTCTACAGTTTCTGTGAAAACGAATCTGTGAAGGTATACATTTAAATAGGGAGATCCTAATCTCATTTTACATGGATGAATAGCTACTTTACAATGGTGGAAGTAGACCTTCAACTACTATTTTTGTGCTTTAGCGTGTTAGCAGCTCCAACCATCGACATAGAAGTCTTTTAATATTTGACTTCTCCAGGCACTATCAGCCATCTGTGGAGAAGATTAACATATGATTTGTTTGAAGTCGTATTGATGTGCTTTGCATATGCTGAGAAAAACGGTGGTCCAGGCTGAAGCTATGAAGGTCTGGGTTGTATGGTAGATTGCAGTCTGGTTTGGCCAACGTTTGCAATAACACAAGAGTGAGAAAAAAAAAAGAAGATAAGCCTTGCAAAGCTTGCATAAACACACATATTCCCGCCAGTTTGTCTGTCATTGTTTAAAGACGTCAGAAACCTCAACCAACACCTACGCACTGTACATAACGTTAATTCTAGAACTATGTTTATTGGTAGGTGATATGAAATACTTTTGGGAAGTTTTCAGCTCCTGCGCTTTGATGTGATAAACTTTCAATCTAAAACTACTTTGAATAGTTTTCTCATTATTTTACAATTATTATGCACGCAAGTTTAATAACTTCATATTATTTGAGAATCTACATAAAGGCAAGTAAAACATTTTTGATATAGCATTTTTAAAACCAATGTTTTACAAAGGACAGAAGACACTTACATTGACATAATATGGAAGTTAGGGTAACGCTTCCTTTTACAGTCCTGTTACCCATGTACTTACTATGTACTTATTATAGTAATTATAATTACTGGGTAATAACTAGGTACGGTACTAACCCTGAACCTGACCCTGAACCTACCCCTAACCCATGTACTTACCTTATATTAACCAGTACTTTCTAGGTAAGTACACTGTAAGTACACGTAAGTACTGCACTGTAAAAGGAAGCGTTACCGAAGTTAGATGCATGAAAATAAGTCAAATCAATTAAATTAAAAATGTATAAATGCAAAACCAAGTAAAGATTTAAATTCAATCGAATTAATTGATTGATTTGGGGGAAACACCAGAAATGTTCCAAAATGTCAAGAATATTTTGAGTGACAGCTGAGTGAAATCTCAGTGTCACAGAACGACCATGAGGACAATAGCACATATCAGCCGTGACTCACATTGACATCTTATAGACACTGCCTACTCTTTCTGACGCAAGCAAAGATTTTAGCAGCACTTTCCATTTAGGTGTGCAGTGCGGTGCGAGAGGATGTGGTTTGCTCTGCACAGATAGCATCTACAAGCAGAGTCTCTTTCCTTTCCTGTACTCAAAGTGATGGTTGCAGAGCAGAAGTCACACAGCAGGAGAGTGGGAGTTTTATCCACTATGCATGAAACTTTCTCTCTGTCGCTTATGTAGAAGTCACGGACCAGCTATTTGTTGTGGCTTTGAACAGTAAATAGTGGGCGTGTGTAGGTGAACGGATGTAAATTAGTTATAAAAAAACAATACACTAGCATTAAAAAGTCCCTTATGCTCACTAATATTGTGAAATATTATTGCAATTTAAAATAGCTGTTTTCTATGTGAATATATATTTAAAGTGTCATTTATTCCTGTGATCAAAGCTGAATTTTCAGCATCATTACTCCAGTCTTCAGTGTCACATGATCCTTCAGAAATCACTCTAATATGATGATTTGCTGCTCAAGAAACCTTTCTGATTATTATCAATGTTGACAACAAGTTCATATTTTTATGTGAACGGTGATTAAAAAAAAAATCAGGAATATTTGATGAATAGAACATTAAAAAGAACAGCATTCATAGAAATCTTTTGTAACATTATAAATGTATTTACTGTCACCTTCGACCAATTTAATGCATTCTTGCTAAATAAAAGTATTAATATCTTTGTAGTGTAACTAGTGTAAAACCACCCTTTTTAAGGATATATGGATCTGTTTAAAATCATAGATGTTTTCCGTAAAGAATAAAAGAAGATACTATGATGTTTCAAGTATTTATTGTTCCCATGCATGTTTTTTCTATATTCAAATGGCTGTTTTATTGTCTTAGTTGACTTACAGATATGGGAGGCGGAGGCGCATGTTTACAGAGACAAAAGCACGTCTGTAAGCATTCAAACTAAAATAATACACAATGGTCTTCAATAATGGTGTTTAAAAGTTTAATGTAAGTTGTGTTCCAATCAGAACCTGCTGTTCTTGGAAATCCCTCCATATCGGGACCCCAACATCTACCACCCAGTCAGAGTCAGCTTTCACGTGTTGAACGGGAAGAAGAAATGCAGCCAGCCTCAAAACTTCACCTACACACCCCTCTCAGGTGCAGCCTTCGGTTCCTTTACCATCAGATAATCTAGTTTACCTGGCTTTTTTGTTTTAAAACTGATCCAAATGGTTTGGATTTCCTTTCCAGTGCCACAGATTAAAGCAGAGCCGGTTGAAGAATACCAGTACACACAGTTAGGCTGTCCCGTGCGTCCCATCATGGGCGTTTCTCCTCCCTCTTGTCATCTTCCAGACGGTTGTATGATGCCCACCGGCTCGCCGTACCAGCGACCTCAATCTGGCATGTATCCTGGTGTCCCACAACACCACCTCGAGCACGCATCCATTCGCTACCAGATACCAGGATTTCTCTCTGGCTCCCCGGGTCATGCTTCATGTATGGGGTCCACACACAGTGTGACCTCCCTGTCTACGTTTGTGCCTAACGCCTACTCGTACACCATAGCAGGTGACAGCATCCAAACGGCCGCCTCCTTATTTCCTACCCTTGATGTCTCCGAGCTGTGCTCCGCCGGGGCCCATCAGAAGGCGTATGGCTCGAGGGCGTCCCCCACCACAGGGAGGTCCCCACCGGCCCGAAGCCATCAGCAGACATACCTGCCCGTACAGCACCAGAGGAACATCAGTCCTGTCAGAGTCACCATCAAGCAGGAGAACCTGGATCAGGCCTATCTGGATGATGGTTTGTGGGCATCATTCCTCTGATCAATCAGTATTTACAGTCCAACCAAAAATTATTCAGACACCAGATATCATTTTTGATATTTAGTTCAAAATACTATAAGTGAGGATAGCAAAATAAAGTCAACTGTGACATATTATACCCCAAAATTCTTCATACAGTGGACTATTTATACAAATACATTTATACACATTTGGGACCAAAAATGCATTCAGACACTTTGACCTGACCGTGTTTTGCTGAAGTGTTTCTTGCTAATGCTCTTTTTACACACAGACTGAACAACAGCTAAACTGGTATTATCTAATTGTGTAGTTAAATTTAACAGCTGACAGATATTCAACATAATTCATGTGTGAGACAGTTTAACAGACGGATGGACAAATCCAGTGAAATATCAACTGATTTGATAACTCTGAGTTCTTGTCATATTTTATTACAAATGTCTCAACTATAGCGAATAAACTGCGATAATGTGAGAAATCTTGAAGGTGTCTGAATAAATGTTGGTTTGACTGTACAACGTGCTCAATTATAACCCTTCAGTTAGAATATTACAGTCATGTTCCGGAAGTAAAAATCATACTCATTTTCTCGTAAAGGAAATGGATTTTTAACAATTACTTATAAACTTTTCAAACTTGTGAGCTACGAGATTGTTAACTGATGGTATTTGCTTTTTTTTTTTAAATAAGCATGTTTAACAGCTCAAATCCTGGAGAGAAACTACATTACACATGATTCTGCAGACACATCTCCTCCAATCACAAAACTGAAAAGGGCAAATCGTGCCCAAAAATAATTCAGTGCTCATCCACTCCCATGAAGCGCTGTGAATGACAGAGTCAGTCTCCCTACACTCTCAAACTAATATGCATATTATATATAGGTATACAGTACCGGTCAAAAGTTCGAATCATTGAATCATTACATCATTAATTTGTTTTTGAAAGAAGTCTCTTCTGTTCATCAAGCCTGCATTTATTTGGTGAAAAAACAGTAATATCGTGAAATATTATTCCAATTTAAATGTTATCTATTTTAATATACTTCAAAATATAATTTATTTCTGTGATGAAACGCTGAATTTTCACCAGCCATTACTCCAATCTTCAGTGTCATATCATCACAAATCATTCTAATCTGGTGATTTATTATCAATGTTGGAAACAATTGTGCAGTTTAATATATTTTTTGGAACCTGCGATACTTTTTTCAGTATTCTTTGATCAATAAAAAGTGTATTCAACTTTTTTCAGCATTTATTCAAAACAGAATGATGCGAAAAAATTCAGAAATAAATTATATTTTAAAGTTTAAAGAAAACCATTAGCCTATTTTAAATTGTAATCATATTTCACAATATTACCGTTTTTTCTGTATTTTTCATCAAATAAATGCAGGCTTGATGAGCAGAAGAGACTTCTTTCAGAAACATTAAAAATAGTAATGTTTCCAAACTTTTGACTGGTACTGTATGTATAGGCTATATATATAACATATAGAAATATTTGAGTAGTTTCTTATTTATCCATTGGTTTAAATTTGTCTTTTGCAATGCTTCATGGAATTGTAGTTCTTTCTCTCATTAAAGCTGTTTAATACACATTCTTGTACCTTTGTCTTTTGAAATGATTTTCAAACACTTTTTTGCTTCAAACGTTTGCAAAGTTCGAATAGCAACATGCTTAAACAAAACACCTTCCTTTTCAATTATTTTTTATGGTTTTTTTTTTAGTTATAGACTGTCTTATCTCACACTCACAGACACTGGAACTGTTTCTTTTAAGAACCATAGTTTGTCACCATTTTTAATCGCTTTTTAACTTTCATTTAAATATAGGATTTTATATGGGATGTCACTGTTGTTGTGTGTTGATAGCAGATATTCAGTAGTTTATTTCAGAGGCCACTAATGTATGCCACTCTTATCAGGCGCCACTATATGGGTCAGTGCCTCGGGTTCTGCCAAAGCCTGTTAAATATTGAGCTCCTAGCAGACCTAAAACACACACACAGGGACAAACAGGACACACTATTGATCTCTAGTATAGCATTCAATCACAAAAGCACTCGTAAATACACTTGAATTGTGTTGTTTATTCACGTAAAGCCTGGTATAGTTGATATTGTGAGCCACATTTTAAAATCACACCACGGATGCAATTTGTTTGTATTTGCGGTGGATGTTGTAGGTGTTACAAAGCATCCCACCAACGCATTAGCTTCTATTTCAAGCTGATTATACCTGTAAACGCTACCCCTTGTGTCCCCTAATCTAATTTTAGACTGAAAACTTTCCATTTTTAGCCCACTAACTTGCCTCAGCAGAAAAACAGGAAGCACAGCCGGATAAAGTGATGAGGTTAAACTCTGTGCTGCCATCTAGTGGACGGTTAGTGACAGTGATGCGCAGACTGCAGTGTCCCACCGACCTTGCATTCATTCAGGTCTCTCTCTGTGATGCATGTCCTTCATAAAAATGTCTTGATAAAAGCCGGCAGGTGAAAATGGCGCATCACTAAAGTAAAGTAACAGCAAATTCTCCCCAACAGCATACAGTATAGCTGGAGCACAAACCGATGTGTAATCCTTAGTGTTAGAGGTTTGATCACTTCATTAATGCTATAATAGTAATGCACACTTTATCAAACAGCGCGCACTAATGATGGTTTTATTTTTCCTTGCAGTGAATGCTGTTATAAGAAGGGACCTTGTTCATAAAAATAAGCTCTAATGTGGAAGACAGCTCTCCATCCTCATGAAACAGCATCAGGCCGGTGAAGACGTCTTGGCATTGATATCTATTTAAATGGCTTGTTTTTCATATCTATGATTTCTACACAAAAAGATGATTTCAGTAAGCTTACGTTAGACATAATATCAGTGTGTTTTATTTTTGTTTATATATAATGCCTATTTTCTCAAATCATGTTTTTAATCAAAGAGCAACCTTGTGTGACATATTTATCAATGTGCATTTCAAATAAAATGTTGCTGTGGCTGTTACTTTTATTTGTTAAAACAAACCAAAATGCAAACTAATCTGGCAGATCATTATTTGCTAAGTGGATGCTGATTAGTTAATAGTTTTTTTTTTTTTTTTTTTTTTGCATGTCCTTAATTTATGTGAGCATTATGAATGCTTTTCTGTAATATGTAATATTGGAAATGCAAAACGGTTTTATATTTATGTTCCAAGAGCTCCAATCAGGGGTGGATTCATGAAAATATTCTTTTTTTTAAAGTGAGTTATCAAGTACAAAAGTTTTAAATTCAATTATCAAATACTTCAGCAAATAACTACATTTGTCCATTTATTAACCCTTTTTAAGTAGCAAGCATCTCTTGATCATGACGATTATCACTCATTTAAGAGATTTAATTAGCCAGATTATAAACATAAATCTAGTAGTAACGTATTATATATTGATAGCATTATGCTGTAATGCTTACTTAATCCAACTAGGAACAATCCATTTATAATTTTTATTTTAAAAACATAAGAGGATTCTTATGTATATTTGGGAATACATTTGAGATAATGTTAATAAAATAAAAATTATAATAAAATATGTTATTAAAATAATTTAAAATATATTTCTAAATATCTTGTATGCCATTTAAACATTACATCTAGATACAATTATTGAACAATTATCACCACAAAAAGAAACGAGCAGAACAGACAATCAGTTTATTCAGATGTAGGTACTTAAAATAACACTAGATTATCCAAAAACACTGATACTTATATAATGTGTGAAACAAAAACACTGTTTTGAAGTACGTGGCAACATCCGAACTGAAATCAGATGTTATAATGTCTGAACTACACAATATCTCGTTGCATCCACATCCTCTAATGCTGCTGTAAGTCAATTCATCATCCGCGAGTTGATCAGATCCACAGCTGAATCCTTACACAAGGTTCCTGCTGCACCTTTAATGTTTCCCTCATTTATATTCACTCAGTCAGGCAGTCTATACACACACACACACACACACTATCTCTTCTTCTTGCTCTCCTTTTTCAGTTTCTGTCGGATTTGTAGAACGGGTCCCTTTGGCTTGCGGTTCTGCTCAGAGCTGCGAGTGTCAACCGGCTCCGACGGCTCCACCTACAATTATGAAATACAAAAGAATGAATTCATTTGACTTTTCAAACCCCTTATGGCAAGACACTAGAGCTGAACATTTTAATTAATAGATATCACCATACTTCCCCAGTTGATTAATCATTACTTCATTAAGAGAAATGTTCAGCTTTACAAGTTTTGCCTGTAGTCTTGATTTTTTTTAAAGTAATTTGTATTGTTACAATAATTATTTTATGTCTACACGTAAATCTAAATAACAAACTTGTGAGAAGATGTATACCCGTGAATAACACTTTGAAGCTCTAGTTTAAATTTCATGTTATTTTGATTTAAAAAAAATTAAAATAAATTGTTTTTTAAAGTGTTTTTTCTCCAGTTGATGGCAGCAATCTCCATTAAACCATGGCACATTGTCCATGTTATCTCAATAAATGAAAATGAGAAATGTGGATCTCAAGTGAATTGTACATAAAAGTTTTTTTTAAAATATATATATTATATAAACTTATTAAAATAAAGCAATTAGCCTCCGCTTCGCGTCGTGTCTAGCTGTTCTAAATTCACTGTAAAACACGGCTTCAAGGGGCTTATTGCTTTTATAAAACGGTTACTCCATAAAAATATTAATTTTAATATTTATTTTGTTCATAAAATAAACAACAGCAGCAACAAAAAATATAACGTTATTATAACAAATTTATTCCTCCGCCAAACAATGTAGTTCCAATGAGGTTGCCAAGCAACATGTGCAGCAACAAACCGCATATGATAGAATCACAAACGGCAGTTGCCCAGTAATACTAATGTAATGCGGTCACAGGTGTAACGTTATGTTTGTTGAGTAATTTACAACGGCTTCGAACGCGGCTCAACCAATCAGAATCAAGAAGGACCGGAACTATCCGTTTTATAATGAAGATTTTAACAGATGTCAGACATTACGACAAAACTGTAATTGTATAACTTGTCCGCACCTGTTCGTGGCTCTTGGATGTGGGTATAATTACAGCTAAAATGCAGATGAGTTGAAAAATGGCTCCTAGAAATAATCCATAACGCAAGAGACTCTCGAAGAAAGTGGGTTCGGGAACCTCCGGAGGAGACAGATCCAGATCTGCAGACATGATGCTGCCGGAGGATAAACACACGTTATTCAAAAACACACTCACAAGAACATCGGGCATGGTATTACCATGGTACGTCTTCGTCAGACACGAAAAACAAGTTAGGCAGTGCAAAACTAACACGTACGGGAGTGCAGTGTTCAAATATCATATAAATCAAACACACACAAAACAAACCAGTTACCTGTTGATATAAATCGTAGCCTTTGCTGTGTTATGGGAATTTGGGAATTAATAAAACAGTCTGTTAATACTGCAGAATCCTGTGTTTGTTGTGAGATTGAAGATAAACACATCCAGTGCTTTGTCTCGAATGCGTTTGAGTTTCTGTCGTCATTGAGCTTTACCGCCTCCTGCTGCACGGGAGGACTCATCTCACAAACAGATGCAGCAGCAGAATGTCAGATACGGTGGGTTTTAATAATACACCTTATATTTTAATTCTGTATGATTTAAATTCAAAATAATTTATTTTACGTTAATCGGTGCCATTATTCAGGTGTAAATATTGATCAGAGCACATCTGAAGTGACGGGCTTTGTCACGTGGTAGCTGATCCTTTTCTCAGCACTGTCAGGCTTGACCAATCAGAGTCACCAACTGTCACAGTCTGTTTTTATCACTGGACAAGAATTATTATTTATTTGGAAATATATCTCTTGCATCAAAGCCTGGAAATTGCCAAATAAGTTTTTTTTGTTAATAACTAAATTAAGGAGCTGTCTTACAAAATACTTATATACACTATACTATTCTTATCCTGCTAAGTATGTTTTGGAAATATTTGAGCTTATTTCATATCGAATTTTGTGCACTAGAAAAATAAACTATTTTACATCTGTTTTTTTCCACTGTATTTACTCAAGATTTTTATTGGAAAGATTCAGAAACCTTTATTAATAGAACATTTGTGAATGATAGAAATGTGTGTATTTGATGTGCTTTTTTTATATTCAGAATGACAAATTGGAATGAAAAGAACGACATATTTTACAGTTATTTATTGTATTAGGAAAATACATTATGCATAAAAAGTGGTCTCAGTGCCAAATATGTCACATTTTATAAATGACTTTATATGTAAATCTTTTGGAACAAGCTAAAAACAAAAAAGCGCTGAAAACATGTAAAGCTTTGAAAGCACTGGAATGTATTTTTATTTATTTTTTCATTTACTGGCAGTTAATGTTAATGTGATCATGTAACCTCGAGTCTTGTTCTCGTTGGATTGAATAAAGTAAAAAAAATTGTATAGTGTAGACTATATTATTATTATAGTATATCATTTATTTTATTTTATAATTATTTTATATAATGTTCAAACAGATTTCAGGGGCAGATCTTCATTTGCGTGTCAGGCATGAATCGTTTGAAGGTCACATGTATGGCAAGAGTTACATTGCTGTAGTTGGTAATATTAAAAGTATCTTGCATATCCCCAGTTTGACAGACCAGGCTTAAAGGGATACTCCACTTTTTTTGGAAATAGGCTCATTTTACAACTCCCCCAGAGTTAAACTGTTGAGTTTTACCGTTTTTGAATCCATTCAGCCGATCTCCGGTTCTGGCGGTACCACTTTTAGCATAGCTTAGCATACATCATTGGAGTGGACAAGACCATTAGCATTTCTAAAAAAAAAAAATGACCAAAGAGTTTAGATATTTTTCCTATTTAAAACTTGACTCTTCTGTAGTTACATCGTGCACTAAGACCGACGGAAAATGTAAAGTTGCGATTTTCTAGGCTGATATGGCTAGGAACTATACTCTCATTCCTGCGTAATAATCAAGAAACTTCACTGCCGTACCATGAGAGCAGCAGGCGTAATGATATGACGCAGCGCCTGAAAATAGTTCCGTTGTGTTGACGGAAGGTGGCCTATTTTCAGGCGCTGCGTCATATCATTACGCCTGCTGCTCTCATGGTACGGCAGTGAAGTGAAGTTTCTTGATCATTACGCAGGAATGAGAGTATAGTTCCTAGCCATATCAGCCTAGAAAATCGCAACTTTACATTTTCCGTCGGCGATCCTAAGGCACATTCATAAAAGCTACTTAAAAGTCCTAATTGATCTAAGGTCTAGCTTAATCTAAGCCCTCTCTGTGAAACCCGGTCTTTGTGTCCTATCCCACAGTAGTCTATATGAATACAAATATGTAATTAAATCGCCCATCGAAACCTGCCGTCATGTCTGCATTCAAGGACTGACACACACACACCACTGCAAACAAATAATATATTTAAAAGATCTTTATTTCCTATGATTAACTAATCGTGGATAAATCTGCATGTAGACGTTCTATTGGTTGGTTTTCACATTGGTTGTACAGGATGACAAGAATAAGCTACACGAATCGCCAGAGGAAAGGCTTTCTTTTTCTTCACTGGCCGATGTGTTCATTTGTAGAAGGGGAATTCAAAGCATGCCAAAGCATCCACGAAAGGAGTCGACAACACTGAACCTCCACACAGGACGGACGGAAAAGGAGAGGAAGGCGTCAGTTCTTTGGAAGAGTCTTTACACGATGAATCGGGAGTGTTAGGAGATGTTAGTAAGCTGAGATGTTGGCAGTATTGCATTGGGAAGGTCTTTCTGACTATATGATCCCATATAAGAATGGAAACCTGTCTGAACACAGAGAGGGAAGGAAGGGGCCAGTCGACTGGCATCCACAGTGTCCCAGGGAAGACTGGGATTTTGTTGCTTGCACCGCAGAGGAACACCAGACCCCTGCAGTTTGATTCACGTCCACAGAAGAAACATTAAGACATTATTCTACATTGGTCCTATTGCAAAGTACAACGCACAGAAGCAGACAAATATTCCTAAGTAGCAGTTAGACAGTCCAAGGCTGTTCAACCAAACAGAGAGGCATATAAAAAAAAATGCAATTATTACACACAACAGACCGAACATTCAATGAAGGAACTGAAGGAGAATACCAAAAATATGAGAACAAAAACTATTTATGACACATTTGAACAGAATGGCCATTAAAAGACTATCTTTGATGATTAATTATCCATCTTGGCTTCTATATGTACTTTGATATAGACAAACAATCAGCTGCGCCTATCTAAAATATGGAAATAAAATCGTAATAATTCTGAATCCTAAACGATGTTAGGAAAACCAAGGATCAAAAGTGTAGTTATTCAGAAAATCATATGCAAACTCTCGTCTCAAAAACACCCAAAATTAAATGTACAAAAAACATTTGAGCTGGTTGTTAACTGTACACACACACATTGCATAATAAAGTCATGCCATTGTACATGTGGATCACCGTAATACGTTTTTGCAAGCAGTTGTGAGAATATATGTTATTGAGAAAACATGAGGGCATCACCTGCCAATATCCCTTGCTTATATTGTGAAGAATTACAAAACAAAAACCCGTCTTTGAACAGACAGTTGCACTTCTTTGCTCTCTCACATCATTTTGGCTCAAATGCGTGAAGGTTATTATTATTGATTTCTGTTGAGGTGTTTGTTTTCATCCAGAAACGATGAGCTCTTGCGAGGGCCCATGCATATGGCTTCTAGTTTCAGAAAGCGGTTTTACACACTGTACATTATCAGATGAACCTCTGGAAACAACGTTCAGGTCACGTTTCACACCAAAATCAAAAGAAAGAAATATTTCACGGGGAGAAAATGCAACCTATTTTTTTTTTTTTTGCATTGGTATTTCCCCATCAAATTATCATTATTTTAATGCAAAAAATGTCACATTTTACGCAAAATACACTATTTGTTTCTTCTGATTGTGTGGTGAAATGTGACCTTGACATGTTTTTGAGAGATTCACCCTAACAAGACATTCCTGTAAATTCACAAACTGAGTATTTTTATTTCTTATTTTCACATCAACAGGACAGAATAAACACAGTGACAAATACATGTTGACTGGACAATAAAAAGGAAATAAATGCAAATCAAGTCAAACTGACATCACAAGCATGAGTCTAACACTCACGTTACACACAGCTCTTAATTCAAAAGTTGTTTTTTATTTTTAAAAACTCTATATTAATATATTCTTAAATGTCTTACACCCTTTCAGGGCGATTTCATAAAATGTGCATTCAGTGCATTATATCTTTCCTCTACATTTTATTATCAAAATGACAAATGCCACACATACACAATATAATTATGCTCTATCTTTAAAACATGCTTCTATGTACATCAATTTATAGGGACATGCTGTAGAAACCGATTTGATCAATGCATATATACACAAGCATCGCTGGGGATGGAGCTGGAGTCGAGTGGATCTGAACGCTTCGGATTGCTTTATTTTATTTTATGTGGGTGAAGTTTACCACACGCCACTTACCATTCCTTTCCACTAAACACTTTGGCATCTCAGAGATAGGAGTTCACTGAATGAACTCGGTGAGTTTGAGCTCAAGGCAGTGACGTCAACCAGGTATTCAAATGTATGTGAAATACACAGAGATCATGAAAATCCCTCGAACGAGTGCAAATTTCATTTGTCTGATCCCAGGAAACATTCACAGCCAGCTTTAGTGAACACGAAGCCTGCCAGATTTATATATGAGAGATATGAACATCTGGATTTGGCACTGTAATCGCAGCGATACAGTAAAGGAGTGTGTCTATATCTTTACACTGACTATGTGTAAACATGCTTGACTAGTGTGGAATTTAACATTAATGTACAGTATATTGCAACATCTCATGAATTATTAGCCCATGTATTCCCATTTATTAATACAGTCCTATCTGACTGCACTATTACAAAACCATAGACCTGAATCTGCTTTCTTTTGGGCACATAAATGCCAACGTGTCTGATGATTCAACTCCGACCCAAAGGCCTGCTTTACCCGCTGACAATGTAAACAACTCTGTCTTACACTAGTTACTTCTCCTGGGATGCTTAACTGAACGTGATCATTGCTTTGTTAAATGTGCAAATGTGTAGATATTTGTAACATAAACAGCATTATTTGCACTTTTGATTAGGCACAAATTCCTTCCTGTTCATGAGATGAAATAAAAACCTCTTGTAACATAAAATCCAGTTAACTAGCTGAAAATGTAGAATAATGTGACATGTTGTAGGGAAATTGCAGCAAAAATGTTTTTTTTTTTTTTTACGTTTACTGATTAAAAGTCGTTTACTGATCTTTTGTGCACTTTTGAATTTGGACACAATCAGTGTATTTGTCTGGGAAATTTAGGCTGCAAGGTAAAAAAACGGTGGGCAAAATTTTCCTTCTTGCTGGCTACTTGCTGCTTCCACAATTTAGGTGCACATTTACATTGGCAAACGTTCTTTCTGAGCAAATGTGTCACATTTTTTCCATTTCTCCTGCCTCGGTTTTCGCTATGTGGCGAACATGTGATGTTGTTCATCTTTTCACGTATTTTCTTTAGAGTATTCAGTGTTTTTGGTGGTCATTATGTGAAACAAACTGGCAGCGCGCGTACGGATGAGTGTGGGTGTCATGCAGTGGTGGGTTGGTTAGTTAGTGGGTTAGTCAGGCTGAGATGTGAGAAGTTACTTCTTGGCATTCAGGGCAGCCAGAGCACCGTCGATATCTTCCTCTGGTTGGAGTGGATGCCACTGGGCGATCGGGCGGCGCGGGTTGGCCAACATGTCGGACCAGTGTTTCAGCGCTGTGCTTTGGGCTTTGCTGCCAATGAAGATCTTCCCGATGGCATCGTTCTTGCCGATCTTGTCGTAGTCGAAGACCGTCACCACCACAATGATTTTCTAAAGTACAAAAACAAAGCAAAAATTGTATTACATCTAAAATCTACAGTCACAGGTTCGCGTTTGAAGTCTGTTTAGAGAGAACGGTGTCGTCTTAGTGGCCCCTAATTTGATAACAAATGATAATTTTGCTGGAAGAGAATCAATCAAAACTAACTTTAGCTGGAAATAACATTATCGGTATTCAAAAATTGCTATCAAGCCAAAACAATCTCTGCTACCATAAATTGTTTGTTTATCTCTGTAAAGCTGCTTTGAAACAATCTCCATTGTTAAAAGCGCTATATAAATGAAGATGACTTGACTAAAATTATAATGTATAATTAAACAGTATTATATTTTAAAATATATTAAAAGTTCATGACTGTAATTAAAGCCTACATTTTTCATATTTCAAATATTAAAATCTGATATTTTATCCTAAAGTATATTAAAAATATGTGAACCCAAACCCAATACAAAATTTTTTTTTATTTAATTTTAGCAGAAAAATGTAAACTTCAATTTGGGTATATGCTAAATAACATACTTGCCCATTCAGGAATATAACACACACAAAAAAAAAACATTTAAACAATAAACAACTGAGAATCCCTGGAAAAAAGTAAATAAAGTCATTTTTTTTGTTACTATTTTTATTTTTTCAAATATTAAAATATAAGTTATAATATATAATGACATACTATAATATTTTAATATATCAAACCTTTGTGACTATTCAAATCAAATTACATATAAACATTCTTTTAAATGTTAAATTATTAAATTACAATATATAATAAAATTGAATATATTAAATGTCTGTGACTATGTGAATCGTCATATATCTTTTTTATTTTTTACGTATTATAATATAATAGTTTAATATATAAAAAATATAGTTTATTCTGGTAGAAACTCAGGTCTAACTGCATAATCTACCTGCATTTGCTCCAGAGGGATCTCAAAGCTGAAGGATTCATTGTAGTACGGGTTCAGTGTGTTCTTCTTCACCGTAGTCTTCTTCTTCTTTAGACGCTTTCCATTCTGCAATAGCTGGATCTTCACATACGGGTCTGCCAACGGTCAAATGTCGAGTTAAGTGCATCAAATATATGAATCATTTCTTGCTGGAGACTCAGGATCTCATATATCTCAGTTCTCACCAGACAAGCCGCCCACGTCCATCTTCTTCAGGTTCTTGGCCTCGAGGATACAAACGGTCAGCTTGCCCGCAGTAGGAACGTAACGCAGGGAGATGCAGATGTCACCAAGCTTCTCAGGCTGTGTGGAAAAGATATCAATATGTGAGATCATCTACAAATGCATTTGAGGAGACAGATTTAATGCATCTGCTTCCTTTTCAAATCCGGCTTGGACCAGTTAAAAATCGATGATCATAATATCAGATCATTAATACTCACTTCCTCTTTCTCAGCGTTTTCCAGGTCTCTCCACTCTTCAATCGGCTGACCCAGATCCAGAGTGTTCATGGGTAGTTTTACCTCACCGATGATGTCGTGTTTGGAGAAGCGGTCATAGTCGTACACACACATGACCAGTGTCTTCCCACCCAGCTCCTCGTACGGCATCTAACATGGAAACCATTGAGAAGAATTGACATACACAGATTTCAAACGCGACGCGAGTGATAAATCTGAGCGGAGAACATACTGTCCTTTGAGTATTGTTATATAAAGGAGATGTAAACGGTTTGCCACGGGTAGACAGACAGATAGAAAGGTATAGAGAGAGATAATCAAATAGTACATCTTAAAATATACTGTAGAATCTTTTGAGAAAATTAAATATATTCTTATAAAATATATTAAAATCTAAGCCTATAAACATTTTTAAAATATTAAAATATAAAAGTATAATGTATGATTAAATTGTATAATATATTAAAATATATTATGACTTTGTGACTGCATTAAAGCCTGCTTTTTCATTTTTAAACTATTAAAATAAATCATCTATTATTATTAAAAACAGGCGACTTTGTGAATCCAAACCCATATACATATATATAATATACATATATATATATATACATATATATAATAATATCTTAAAATATATTAAAACTTTGTGACTATGCCAATTAAACCTGTAAACATTTTTTTAATATTAAAATATACATTTATAATATATAATCAAATAGTAGAATATATTAAAAATATATTAAAATTTAAACAAAGCCTAATACCGTTTTTAAAGCATATAGTTATTTATATATTTGCATTTACAGTTCATTTTTCTAATCATCTGTGAAAAATAATTAGATGAAAAAACCTCCTCCTCACATTGATTGATTTTATTTGACCACTTAAATATAAAAAAAATGAAACAGTACTCTGTGTCATACGTTAAAAACACATAAATAGTCAGGAATGACACAATTAAGCCCAAAGACTTAAGACACATGGCTTTGTTTTCTCACCCGATCCATTTTTAGAAACACAGCCAGCCGTTCTCACTGTAAGGCCGGGGCTTTAAAGATGGCCAATTGTTCCTGTCCTAGATCAGTTTTCTCAGCGTGAAACTGTTAGACTGTGAGACTCTAGCGGTGACCACCAGAGGATCCGCGGCCCCTCCGGAGCTCATTACTGAAACTAAAGCTCATTCGGGAACGGCTAGAAGCATTACGACCAAAACGCTGGAGTTGCAGAAAACTGCCAATGAACACTAATGACAGACCAGCAGCCCTGCAGGCAAATCACTACTTTTACCATATATGTTAGGCCAGTTAGTTTTACTATATTATAGGGGTGTAACGGTACACAAACATCACGGTTCGGTATGTACCTCGGTTTTAAAGTCACGGTTCGGTACGTTTTCGATACAGCAAAAAGAAAGAAATGCCAGAGGAATTTCCTATTTGTTAAAAGAAAAAATATTTGTAAATAACTGAGTTTTCCTACATCTTGAAACTCTCAGGTTTATAAATGGGGGTCATCTTTGAAGGATGAACAAATCATGTTTTGGTCATCATATTAAAAATAACATTTAAATATATATTTATGTATGTATTATTTGAGTTTTGAAGTGCTGGAAAAAGATGTGTGAAGTACTTGAAAGCATTTCACTATTCCAGCTAAACTGGTTACAGTTAGTGTTACTATATTAAATCCATGGTGAATGTTACTGATCGGTGGACGTAAAGTATTACTAGTTCATTCACGGCACAATGTTTCTCCTGGTTTCCATGTCAGCGCTGTTTGATCTAATAGAGATCTACGGTTAATAACGGAGAAATTTTAATGCTTCTCACTAGATCTCGCAGCGATGTTATTACTTCAGTGGCAACTCAAATGTTTTCTTCACTGGATCTCTTAGCGCTGTGTAGTAACAGTGTCGCTTGATCAAGATCGGCTCGCGCTGCACAGATGTTGCTGGTCCGAACTGATAAACGGCCCGTTAAGCACAATATAATAAGTAGCGCAGTTTCGTTCCGCTTTCATTACGTTTGCCATTTGATGTTGCGCAACGTTGTGCTGGTCGCGCCAGCGCGAATTTTGTCGGCAGGAAAAACGGTCCAAGGAATCGTTCGGTTTGTATGCGTACCGAACCGGAAGCCTCGAACCGAAACGGTTCAATACAAATACATGTACCGTTACACCCCTACTATATTATATATAGTTTTATTATATATTACTTGATTAATTAGAACATATGCTGTCTTTTAGGATGATATTACACATCAATGGTTGACCAAGACATTACAACGAGTCGTGTAAAAATGGTAAAGCTTACCTTGAAGACAAAGGTTTCATTGAACACTGGGTTGAGGGTCTTTTTGTGGACCTTGGTGTCAAACTTTTTCTTCTTATCTGGTAGGATGAACACTTTAACGTAAGGATCGGATGTTCCGCCGGAGTCCATGGAAATCAGGTCGGCACATTGCAAGATTCCCACTGTCAGCTGTGGATAAAAGCGTAGTGGAAAAATAGAAGCACGGGATTTAATACATGAAAGGAATTTCTTGCTAAATAATATAGAATCCCAAATGCGATCTCGTTAATATATCAATGAGATTAAATGAAGAGAAAATAGAAACAGATTTTTCTTAAGGAATTTATAACACAATTTTCCTTTGGGATGTGCTCTGAAAGGGCTGTGAAATGGCTGTCAGGCTTTATGCATACATTTAAATTGAATTATACACTGATTATTCATAAATACACTACTGTTCAAAAGAAATCAATACTTCTATTCAGCAAGGATGCGTTAAATCGATCAAAATTTACATTAAATAGATTTATAATGTTACAAATACTCTATTCTATTTAAAACAAATAAAACTTTCTATTCATCTGAAAAATAAAATGTATCACGGTTTCCACTAAAATATGAAGCAGCACAACTGTTTTCAACATTGATAATAATCCGAAATGTTATCAAATCAGCATATTAGAGTGATTTCTGAAGGATCATGTGACACTGAAGACTGGAGTAATGATGCTGAAAATTCAGCTTTGATCACAGGAATAAATTACACTTTACTATATATTCACATAGAAAACAGTTATTTTAAATTACAATTGTTTTTACTGTATTTTTGATCAAACTTTTGTACAATAGTGTACAGTACAAGTAATTTTCATGAACTCCACTCTGCTGTTCCAGTGTAATGATACTCTAGCAATATCCAGGGACTTCATGCACATTCAAATTGAATCTGACTGCATTAAGAAACATAATAAGAATAACAGTCCCAGTCATTAATGTTTGTTTAAACTCATTTAGGAACTCCAGCTACAGCTGTGACTCAGCAGACACTGATCAACACTGTCATTAGGAAAAGACATGAGCGCAAACTTTCTCCATGATCATCCCACAGGGAACTTTTAAAAGATGTTTTAGTTAGAGGAATAGTCTCATGTCGCTGCAAACACAAGCACGCTGTTATTTTTTTCGGAGCCACACAAAACGAGAAATCTTCACATAAGCTCTTTTCTGAATTTAAATTTTAGGGTGAACTTTCTTTAATTGTTTTTAATTACTTTCTCACTTCATCATAAAATTGTATCCAAATGCATCATAATATAGTTTAATATGAGACCAGATGGCGATATGCTTCATTAACAAAGAGGATAATATAAGAAACGCTTTAGTTTAATCATATTCCAGCATATAATAACCATTAACGCGACATCCTAACCTTGTTATCCTGGAAGTCATAATCCAAAGAGTACTGAAGCTTTCCAAGTTTCTCCACTTCTTTTTCCTCTTCCTCTTTCTCCTCCTCTGTCAAGCCAGTTTCTCCTTCTTCATCATCATCATCCTGGTTTTTCTGTGGGGCAAATGGTAAATTGTTTTAGTAAGTTGTTATGTGGGTTGACAGTAAGGCTGGTTCCTGTTTATAAGCATGCCACAAGCTCAGGGCCCGGTCAGTTGCAGTAAAGGTTGGAGAGATGCTCTATCTGGCCGGACCTACAGGAGTAATGCGGTCATTCAGGGCTGGATGCTGCAAATGACTTGAGTTCACAATTTTAATTGGTGACACTTTTCTGTTTGCTTATCTTGAGAAGCAATGCTATTTTCTAGAGCTTAACTTCTTCCATAATAAAATTACATTTTGACTATATTCAAATGAGGTGTTTGGCAGTACTAGAGAACAATGAGAGGAGCTTTTTATTGATATGCATAATTCAGTGTGCAAGCATTTTCTCATCATCAGCATGATAAATTGAACTGTTCATCAGTGATACTCCAGGGAATAAGAGATGAACAGCAAATGTTTAAAGAAGAACAGACTCCTTTGTGCTATTCTGGGCATATGAAATGCTGACATGTCATTCTTGTGTATTTTTGAACATCATCCAAACTGCAGGAAGAGAAAACAAATCTATAATGTGTGCAGAACTATTTTTTTTTGTTTGTTTCCACAAATAGGTCATAATTCCAGCATCATGCAGTGGCCCCAAAAATGTATTTGGACACTAAGCCACACTTCATTAGATCAGGGGTTACTACCGTCCTATATCAATCTATAACACATTTAAATGATATTTCAACATATCAAATAAAGTGCATCTCAAATGCCACTTGGGTTTGATATTTTGTAATCTAATGCAAAGACATTCCGACATTGTTGATTGTGGCTGAAGTGTTTAAATATTTTTTGGGGTCACTTTATGCGAATATGCATAATATGTTACGTGCATGACATTGTGAGAATTTGGGGCTCAAGAGTTTAACTTAATTTAAAAGATTTTTTTTTTTCCATAAGGACTGTAAACTGATTAAAGCGTAAAGTTTTAATGTGCCACCAAACAAAAATTGTCATTTTCAAGTCAGTTCCTAACCATATCCATATAGCAACAAATTAAAGGGCACAGCAGAATATGTGCTAATTGATCATATGTTTTGAAAAAACTGATTATATGATCATATGAACAAGAGCTTATATGACAAGCAAAAAAAACGATATTTTATAGCTGTAGATATTTGAAGGTTTACTGCTAGTGAGACATCAGGACTTTCAGTGCAGTTAAAACAGCCATGCCCTTTAAACACATGCATTCATAGTGAGTTTTGTGGGTCGTCTCTTGCCAACTCAAAACATCTTGCCAGTATTAGTGGGTTAATAATCAGTTATTCCATTCACACCTCCTACACATTTATGTCTCTTTGTTATTGTAGTATCATTCTTTTTTGCTCTACTTAAGTGGGGTTTTCATTCGCATTGTAACTTTCCTTAGTTTTTAATTGTATTCTTTTCAAACAGCAGGTACAAAAGGCTTAAAACAAGGAAGTTACAACAACAGCCATTCCATCCAATCCCACCCAGGCGGTGCTAGCACTCAGCGAAACAGCTGTGCCGTTCATCCGTACACCTACCGTAGCGCCGACGCCATGAGCGTCAAGAAACGCGGCGCATTAGACACATAGCGGGAGGAAGGAGAGCAGAGAGAGAGGGAGAGGTTGAACTCACAACACACCAAAAAACACAACGAAAGACAGTCAAGACAGTAAAAAACACCAAGAGAACCATTTTGAGAAATGACACTGTGATGTTTAAGACATCTGTATGAATAAAGGCTTGACATAGTTTGGCAATTGATTTAAGGATCATATCATGAAATGAGTGTCTTTTCCATATCAAATGATTTCTGTAAGGTTGTAGATGTATACTTTAGGCTATCAGACCAAAAATGTCTTATTAAATTGCACTATGCCATCTTATCATATTTTACATGCTGAGAAACATATGCAGAGATCATGTGAATATTAAAGGTGGGGAGTAGGTGGTAAAAAGTTGTGCCAGTAGGTGGTGAAAATTGATTTAGTTTTACAAATTAGTCATTGATTCGTTCATATTCACCGATTCGTTCAAAAGTACTGATTCATTCAGTGACAAATACTTGATACATTCAGCAACTGGCTGCATCCGAAATCGCATACTTCACTACATGTATGTGACAAAAGAAGTGTCCGAACTCATAAAAGAGGAGGCAAAACGTCCCTGGATGACCTACTACTTCCGGCGAGATTCTGAAAAGTGCATACGATGGACACTTTACTATCCCATGAGGCCACAGGAGAGGACTTGTGAATGAAAGTGACGCAACGCAACTGACCATGGTACGTCACATGTTAACATGGCGAATATGTAGCATGTCCAAGATCACATTTATACTACATAAAACATACTTTTTAGCAGTCGCAAAGTAATTACTCAACTGTTTTTATGACTGAGTCACTGAATCATTCGCTCAACTGATCCATTCAGCAACAATTTAAGTGACTGTCTTTAATTTAAGTGACTGTCTTTAATATAAGTGACTGTCTTTACGAATGACTTTGTTGAATCATTTGAAAGGCAACCCTGGAACTGGTTTAAATTACAAGTTGCAACCATTTTTGCTCAAAGTAACTGATAATATTGTATATAAAATGTAAGTTACTCAATATTAACATGCTGTACTATTAAATGAAGTTCAAAACTTAGGTTCGGGAGGAGCCTAAACATTCAGTCCTGTCAATCATCATTACGAGCGTACTATACAGCTGAAACTCGGAAAAATCTGAATATTTTGCTGATAGCATCCATGCCACGCCACATTGAGGCAGTAATTCATGCAAAAGTGGCCCAAACCAAGTACTGAGTACATATGCATGATTCTACTTTTCAGAGGGCCGACATTTCTGTATTTAAAATCCTTTTTTTTTTATCGATTTCATGTAAAATTCTAATTTTGAATATGGGGTTTTCATAAGGTGTAAGCCATAATATTCAAAATCATAACAAATAAAGGCTTGGAATATCTCACTTCGCAATGAGTCTATATAATACAGGTGAAACTCGAAAAATTAGAATATGGTGCAAAGTTCATTTATTTCAGTAATTCAACTTAAAAGGTGAAACTAATATATTATATAGACTCATTACATGCAAAGTGAGATATTTCAAGCTTTTATTTGTTATAATTTTGGATGATTATGGCTTACAGCTTATGAAAACCCCAAATTCAAAATTATAATATTGTGAAAAGGTTTTCATAAGCTGTAAGCCATAATCATCAAAATTATAACAAATAAAGGCTTGAGATATCTCACTTTGCATGTAATGAGTCTATATAATATATTAGTTTCACCTTTTAAGTTGAATTACTGAAATACATGAACTTTTGCACGATATTCAAATTTTTCGAGTTTCACCTGTATAAGCAGCAGACACCACGTCATCTCATTGACAAATTCTTCCGGCAGCCTCCTCCTCCTCCTCCAGTAAATTATCTCTATCCTCTTATGCGCAATCCCATCATAGGGGGGTTTTAACTCGGAGCTCAAGCCGAGCCTCGGGTTCGAGCCTCCTCCAAGGACAGCAAGCCAAGTTAGTTTATTATTAACCTTAAGACTGAATGGGCAGGCGAACTAGTGAATGTAATATTAACATATTCTGTAATGTTATTTCATTACATAATTAAAGGCACTCATTTTGTAGAATGACCCTTAAAGCTCCTAACTTTTTATGATCAAAATCACAAGAGAAACATGTTTGGGAACATCCAGTGTACCATTTCTCTTTAAAGAAAACAAAACACTCGCATTACTCACAAACACAATAAAGCAAACCATGAAGCTAATCACATAACAGACTCCCTCATAATCAGTGTAACCCGTACTAAAGCGGTCTGAGGCTTGTTTTCATTTCTTAATGATGCAATACTAATTTCTGTTGATATGCCCAGTTAATACAGACTTTAATATAATCTAGTTGTAATTCTCAAACCAAACTGATTGAAGTGTGCATCAGGGGTTTTAACTACATTATTTAATGGCGTCATGGTGGGTGCTATTGAACACCGTTACATACATCGCCACCCTGCATGTTCTTCATGTTGAAGCCGTCCTTTCCCTTTTTGCCTTTCTTGTTCTTCTTCTTCTTACAGCAGCATTTCTTAATGATACAGAAGCAGCAGGTGAGGACGAGGAGCGCGGCCACTACAGCAATGGCGATGAGCGCCCATGGAGGCACTGCAGAGCATCATGGGAAAAAAAACAAAGAGTCATTCAGACGTCAGGTGACGTGTTATTCCTTGAAGGTGATATTTGACATCAACCAAAAAAAGACAGAGCAAGTTATGACATGAAATGCTACAAATACAAACATGTTTTTAATGAACGTTTTACGAACTGAATTGGGATTGCATGTTGATTGTACTTTCTGAGGAGACTCAGACTGTATGGTGTCAACAAAAAAATCATGACTGTGTTTTATCAGGCTGTTCTGGAAAGTCTAATCAGGTATGGGATCCAAGCCTGGTATGGGAATCTCTCTGTAAAATTAAAAAACAGACTTTACAACATTATCAAGACTGCAATGAAAATTGTGGGATGGAAAGACTATCCATCGCTCCAAACATTATATGAGCAGTCTGTGTACAGAGGTGCACAAAGGATACTAGCTGACCCTTTTCACATCCTTTATCCTGAATATGTGCTTCTGCCTTCAGGAAGAAGGTATAGAGCGCCCAAATGTCGATTGAACCCCTTTAAAGGAGTAGGCCTAGTTCACTTTTAAAAAAACTTTTGCTGATAATTTACTCACCCCCATGTCATCCAAGATGTCCATGTCTTTCTTTCTTCAGTCGAAAAGAAATTAAGGTTTTTGATGAAAACATTCCAGGATTTTTCTCCATATAATGGACTTCCATGGGAACCAGACGGTTCAAGGTCCAAAAGACAGTTTCAGTGCAGCTTCAAAGGGCTTTAAAAGATACCAGACGATGAATAAGGGTCTTATCTAGCGAAACGATCGGCCATTTCAAAAATAAATAGAAAAGTTGAAGTTTAAAAAGCACAATTGATACACGTTCGTGACTCTCCTGCTCGAACTCGTTCATCAAAATGAACGAATCTTTTTTCGAGTCATTTCGTTCATTCAACTAACGAAATGAACGAAATGACTCGAAAAAAGATTCGTTCATTTTGATGAACGAGTTCGAGCAGGAGAGTCACGAACGTGTATCATTTGTGCTTTTTAAACTTCAACTTTTCTATTTATTTTTGAAATGGCCGATCGTTTCGCTAGATAAGACCCTTATTCATCGTCTGGTGTAGTTTAAAGCCCTTTGAAGCTGCACTGAAACTGTCCTTTGGACCTTGAACCGTCTGGTTCCCATGGAAGTCCATTATATGGAGAAAAATCCTCGAATGTTTTCATCAAAAACCTTAATTTCTTTTCGACTGAAGAAAGAAAGACATGGACATCTTGGATGACATGGGGGTGAGTAAATTATCAGCAAAAGTTTAAAAAAAACTAATCCTTTAAAAACTCTTTTGTTCCCGTTTCTATTGGACTTTTGAATGACAAGGACAAAGGCCTATGATTGTCTCTGGTTTGGACTGATTACTTAACATTATCTATTGCTCTATATTATAATTTTTATTTAGATTGATCTATTCTGTGATTGATTTAGAATTTATTTTAATTGTATTTTTTCTTTTTTTTAATGTCTTATTTTTATTCTGGAAATGCAGCATACACTGTGCCCAAGACAAATTTCCCTAAGGGGACAATAAAAGTATACAAAAGATTTGAAGGGTTACAAGACGAAAGCAGATCATGTTAAGTTGCTCTTTATTGCATTGCACTTCTAGTTTAGAAAAAAATCTCGGTTTGCTCAACACTTTGAGGGTCGAACAATTTGGCTAGAATTTAAATCCATAAAACATCTTCAGCATAATGATGCACTACTGTATTGATTTTCTTGATCTAGCCAGACTGTAAAACATCTCTGCAGGACTTACATGGGATTTTATCGATCTCATTGAGGAACTTGCTTTTGATTTCCTCAAAGACATCATTCTTGTTGACGGGCGCCTCAGATTCGGTGGAGTTGTCCGCGGGTGTGGAGACAGCGGGGGCCATCGTCATGGTGTGTGACGGGTGTGTGACGCCGAGTCCCGTGGGCTCTGGGCCCACCATGGCTTCTGGTTTCTTTTTAAAGAGGTTCCACTTCATAATCTCTGGCTTGACCACTCAGGAACCCTGGAGGAGTTAAAGAACACAAAAATACACTGAAGTCTGGCATGCGTTTTGATCTTACGGACATTTGTGGCTTTCAAAAACATCAGCGCCTACCGTCTGTCATATTGAATGCAGGAAGGGTGCAGTTTTCAAATGCAATTTTCACAGCTTATTTATTTTCATGAGAAATTTCAAACCAGAAGCTTTTTCTTGAATAAATGACAAGGAAGCTCAAGTAAAAAGAAAACAAGGATAAGACCTCTCAGAACCGACAGTGGACGGCTCTTTTTGATAATGAAATGGATGGCCTTGCATTTCAATAATGAAATAAAGCGTCAGAGCTTCAGGCCGTTAAAGGGTGAAGTGCAAGATAAACGACAGGACAAAACACAAGACATTCTGTCCTGGGATGCTTTTAGCACCAGTTTTCTTTAGGTTATAAACCGCATCAAATCCAGCATTATTACTCGCATATGCTTGTATGCAACAGAAATAAGAGAAAATTCTGCCTCTGATTTGACTTTCCCTGCAGCATCCACCTTTAAAATGTCAGATAATATCTGCTGTCACTGCTGATAGCTTCTCACCGCTGTGTGAATGAAAACCTGTAAAAAGCGATGACTATAATGAGGGCGGCTCTGTTGGCAGGTTGTACATTTTGCTAGATAATATTTGAAATGAAATGAAACAACAAGAGGATGCTGTCCTAACAAGGAGATATAATATCTATGGAGATAAATATGTGGATGAAATGATAAATAAAGGTTTGAGAGTCGATGACAACCAGCAAAAACCCACAGCATGTCTAAATAACATGACTGAAAAAATAATTAAAGACATAGATTCTGATGAGTTTTACAAACTGGAAAACAAATTATTAACTTTATCATTCAATCGTTTTCCATTCTCTTCCATTTTTTAATAAAATAAAAAATAAGAAAATACAGACAAATATTTATAACAATTATTTAATTTAATCTAATAATTATTACTCAAATCATAAATAACTAATTAATACAATTTTAAATAAAAAATATTTATAAAATAATTCATTTAAAATAAAATATTATTATTATTATTATTATAACAAAATAAAAAAAATAAAAATTAAATGATTTTTTTTTTTTAATGCAAAGGATAAAAGACCTTTTGCTTTTAGTCCTGCTGAAAAATCTTCACCTAAGCAAATGGGAATTTTACAGCCCTCACTGTCAAAGAGATAAACATGGGAAAGAGAATAATAAGACCTAATAAAAATGAGACTGCTTTTGATCAAGCAAGAGTTTGTGCACAACTGAGTCGATTTAGATGATAAAAGTGCTAATACAAAGATTTGAATGCACTTCATGGACACTTATGTATTCTGTAAGTTTTGAATGAGAAAAATGCATACTTATTATTAGTAGTAGTTGACCATTAAGAGTTTGTCTATGATCGTTGGTAAGCGATATCTAGAGATTTAGTTCGTATTAGCAACGTCAACAAATTGCCCAAATTAATCGGTAATGCACAAAAGAAGCAAAGTGATTATATCGATTATGTTATGTATTATATATGGTCATTGTCTTCTGCTTTCCGGGGTTTTCAGTGTTCTGCTCTTGTATCTGAGCTATGAACTCCTTCACCGTCACCCACCAAAAAACAACCATGAATACCTATCAATACTAATCCAAACAAAGCCAGCTATTGACTATCATTTGTACTCCGTTCTTCTCTGAAAGAACCAAATGGGTTTGATTCACCAAATGTACATCTCCTTCCAATCCATGCTGGATAAATCTTCAAAATGACAGCATCCAGAGCCTCTACCCCTCAATTCATGCAAAACCAATCTGCACTATTTAGGTGGCAATCACTGCTGATACAGGGTTTGAGGAGCGGCATTGATTCCCTGGAGTAGCTGGACATCTGTCCTCGGCTGAACATGTGCTCGGCCTGCTTTATTGACTGACAACACCGTCCGTGTCTCCATCTCTGTTCCCCGATGTGATGAAAGCACCCTTTACACGCTCACACACTGATCGTCACGAGGACGCTCTGCCATGGATGGATCATGGGAGCTGGTGTGTATGAGGGGCTTTTGATCAGTCAGGCTGGAAGGCATGGTCATTTTCCCAATAGGAATTTAAAAAAAAAACTCTTCAGTAAAGTTTTGTCTTGAAATGAAACAGACAGGGGTGTGTTTCCCAAAAGCATCGGTAGCCAATTATGGTCGCAAGTTCCGTCGTTATCAGCAGTTCATCGAGTCGGTGTTTCTCGAAACCATCGTTCCAACGAACATTCGCAAACAGCATCGCAGAGTTGTGTGTGTGAGCGACAGATCTCGAGCTGTGGTTAGAAGAAGAGTTTCTAGATTGCATGACATGTGGACTTAATAAATCTTTATCTTGAGCAATAAGCAAGCTGACATTCAGTGCAACCTGTGTCTTTTCTTTAGAATACATAACAATGTAATTTACGTCTTTAAGTTTGTCAAGAGATTTAAAGCCCCGTTTTGAAGAGTGCGCATGTGCGTTCGTGCTCTAGTGTGTAAGAACGAGTCTATGATTGAATCTGGAAATAAAGCAAAATAACTGAGAAAAATTTGAAATATTCCTCAGGTGCCATGTCTAATTTATATCGAAAAATCTAGCATTAATTCAATCTCAAACAGTTTAATTAAAATAAGTGATTACTCCACCACGTGTGTGACGTCATAAACCAACCTGGTTGAACGACCAATTTGCGACAATATGGTTTCTGGAAACAAACAGTCGTGACTGGCTAGTTGATTTCTTCAACGATGTATCGTACTGTGGTAGTGAAGCATCGAGTTACGGCGCTGTACGGGAAACGCACCGCTGCTCTATTATGATATGAATCACAACATATCAATTCTATTACACATCAGTCAGTTTTTTTGTGTGTCTTTTTAATGTAAGTGTTTTTATGTCCATGGGAAAAGCTAATTCCCAGCAAACTTGGTGGATGTCACTTCAGGATTTTGGGTTCTTCAATAGTTTGTCAAAAGAAAAAATAAATTGTACATTTTCTATCTATCTATCTATCTATCTATCTATCTATCTATCTATCTATCTATCTATCTATCTATCTATCTATCTATCTATCTATCTATCTCTCTGTTTGTCTATCTATCTATCTATCTATCTATCTATCTATCTTTCTTTCTATCTCTGTCTATCTATCTATCTATCTATCTATCTATCTATCTATCTATCTATCTATCTATCTATCTATCTATCTATCTATCTATCTATCTATCTATCTTTCTGTCTATCTATCTATCTATCTCTCTGTTTGTCTATCTATCTATCTATCTATCTATCTATCTATCTATCTATCTATCTATCTATCTATCTATCTATCTATCTATCTATCTATCTATCTATCTATCTATCTTTCTGTCTATCTATCTATCTATCTCTCTGTTTGTCTATCTATCTATCTATCTATCTATCTATCTATCTATCTATCTATCTATCTATCTATCTATCTTTCTTTCTATCTCTCTGTCTATCTCTCTGTCTATCTATCTATCTATCTATCTATCTATCTTTCTGTCTATCTATCTATCTATCTATCTATCTATCTATCTATCTATCTATCTATCTATCTATCTATCTATCTATCTATCTCTGTCTGTCTATCTCTCTCTCTATCTATCTATCTATCTATCTATCTATCTATCTATCTATCTATCTATCTCTCTGTTTGTCTATCTATCTATCTATCTATCTATCTATCTATCTATCTATCTATCTATCTATCTATCTATCTATCTATCTCTTCCTATCTCTCTATCTGTCTATCTATCTATTCCTATTTCTCTATCTATCTATCTATCTATCTATCTATCTATCTATCTATCTATCTATCTATCTATCTCTATCTCTCTATCTGTCTATCTATCTATTCCTATCTCTCTATCTATCTATCTCTCTGTCTGTCTATCTATCTATCTATCTTTATATCTATCTGTCTATCTATCTATCTTTCTATCTCTCTGTCTGTCTGTCTATCTATCTATCTATCTATCTATCTATCTATCTATCTATCTATCTGTCTGTCTGTCTGTCTGTCTGTCTGTCTGTCTGTCTATCTCTCTGTCTGTCTATCTATCTCTCTGTCTGTCTGTCTGTCTATCTCTCTGTCTGTCTATCTATCTCTCTATCTATCTGTCTGTCTGTCTGTCTGTCTGTCTGTCTGTCTGTCTGTCTGTCTATCTCTCTGTCTGTCTATCTATCTCTCTGTCTGTCTGTCTATCTATCTCTCTGTCTGTCTGTCTGTCTGTCTGTCTATCTATCTATCTATCTATCTATCTATCTATCTATCTATCTATCTATCTATCTATCTATCTATCTATCTATCTATCTATCTATCTATCTCTCTGTTTGTCTATCTATCTATCTATCTATCTATCTATCTATCTATCTATCTATCTTTCTTTCTATCTCTCTGTCTGTCTATCTATCTATCTATCTATCTATCTATCTATCTCTGTCTGTCTATCTCTCTATCTCTCTATCTATCTATCTATCTATCTATCTATCTATCTATCTATCTATCTATCTATCTCTCTATCTCTCTGTTTGTCTATCTATCTATCTATCTATCTATCTATCTATCTATCTATCTATCTATCTATCTATCTATCTCTTCCTATCTCTCTATCTGTCTATCTATCTATTCCTATCTCTCTATCTCTCTATCTATCTATCTATCTATCTATCTCTCTCTCTCTCTCTCTCTCTCTCTCTCTCTCTCTCTCTCTCTCTCTCTCTCTCTCTCTCTCTCTCTCTCTCTATCTGTCAATATCTGTCTGTCTATCTATCGATACATACATACATAAATACATACCCAGGAAAAATATATACTGATAAAATATAACAGTATGAATGCACTGTAAGACACACTGCCAAATGCATGAAATGTAGAAGTGAATCTATCCTGATATGTTGGGTCTCGTTCTCATTTTGAGCTGCACATGTGAGATGTGATCTGCCTGAACTGCAGACACTAAT